TGACTGTTTATAACACAAACCCCCAGGGTTGAGGTAACCACCAGGTTGGGCTTGGGATGGGATCCAGTAACAAGCATGGGATCCTCCGGCCCCCTCCTCCTCCTCCTCCCCCTCCTCGCCTGTGCCCTTGTGCTCTCCTACACCCAAGAGTGGCAGCAGCAGCAGCAGCAGCAGCCATTGGATGTGGCGCCCCCGCCGCAATGCGACATCTCCGCGGGCAGCTGGGTGTATGACCGCTCCTACCCTCTCTACCGCGCCTCGGACTGCCCTCTTGTGGAGCAAGGCTTCAGGTGCCAGGACAACGGGCGGCCCGACAGCAGCTACACCAAGTGGAGATGGAAGCCGTCACAATGCCACATTCCCAGGTCTTGTCGGATCATTTCCCCACCTCTTTCTTCATCAATCCTTGTCTGCTCTGCGCAGCTTCAATGCGGCGCGTATGCTCCAGCTGCTGCGAGGCCGCCGGATCGCGTTCGTAGGCGACTCCATGGGCCGCACGCAATGGGAATCTCTCGTCTGCATGCTGCTCACCGCCGTCGCCGACAAGTCGTCCGTGTGGGAGGTGAACAACCGGACGATCACCAAGCGTGAGCCCTACCTGGCGTTCCACTTCGCCATGCACAAGGTGACCGTGGAGTACCACCGCTCCCCGTTCCTGGTCCAAGAGTCTCCGCCACCCAAGCACGCCCCCAGGAGAGTGCGCTCCATCCTGCGCCTCGACCAGCTGGAAGCGTCGCGCACACGCTGGGCGGACGCGGACGTGCTCGTCTTCAACTCTGGTCATTGGTGGAATCCTTCCAAGACGCGCCAAGTGTTTGTATCTTGTCCCACCCGTGTTGCTCGAGGATTCACGTTGGTCGCTGCGCAGGGGCTGCTACTTTTACGTGGGGAACACCCTGCGCCTCGGGATGAAGCTGGAGGCTGCTTATCAAGCAGCACTCAACACATGGGCTCGCTGGGTAGACAGCCTCGTCGACACCAACAAGACTCGCGTTCTCTTCCGGAGCCTCGAGCCTTCGCACTGGGAGTACGTATGTTAGTTGGCCTGTGTTTACTTGCTTACACACACGCCTTTGACTCATCAGCTGGCCGAGGAAGCGATGCTCCTTCCAGAGGCAACCAAATGCCAGCAGCCTCGCCGCCCCCAGCAGCATCCCGCAGCTGGCATTGAACCGGATCCTCCATCGAGTTGTCCAGGGCATGAACAAGAGCGTGGAAGTCCTCAACATCACCACATTGTCCCACTCGAGAAGCGATGCTCACGTTGGCCGCTGGAGCCCAGGACAGCCCCCTCTCGACTGTAGCCACTGGTGCCTCCCCGGCGTGCCAGACACATGGAACCAACTTCTCTACGCCACCCTGCTCAGCAACAAGAACAACAGAGTCGCTACCTCCTCAAACTGAACCCACTTGTTTATGCTCAAGGTTATCGGATATGTCGACTACACACAAAAAAGGCTCCCCCACCTAGCCTAGTTGATTGTGGCAAGCAGGTCCCCCACTTTGCAAAAGCAATGCTTTTCGCTTGTGCCAAAGTTGACCTGCAATTCCAACCATTAGTCGAGGCACAGGCACAAACCAAGCTCCCACCTCGTAAGCATTTATATCAGAGAACATCACCTGCCAAACAAAGTGTCAACCTTGAACCAAAACATCATTCTTGAGTACCTTCTGGCCTCTCTCAACAGATCCAGCATCCTTCCCTACGGATATCACCTGCACATGTACCACCACCGTCAAAGAGCATCAAAGACCACTCACTGTGCACTTACCTCCCCAACGAGATAACGCTCAAACTTGACTGCATTCTTAGGAAGAAGCACTCCACCTTCAGATTTCTAGAGGAAGAAAAGACCGTCAGATTTCTAGAGAGGGGAAGCAATTCCTGCTTACCTCGGGAAGCTCTTCCAATCGAACGAGCACTCTGTCAGCCTGGGGAGATACCTGCATTTCCGGCCGAGTCAGGTGGAGACTAATCCGCTATTCCAGACACAGAGACCTTGGAGGTATCCACAGCAGCGGAGGCTCTAATGGAGGCGAGACGCGGCCTTCGGCGGGCCGGAACAGCAGCCACAGCTTTACTAGACGAGCCAGCGGTAGAAGGACAAGGTGCACAAGGGACTCGCAAAGGAACACCAATCATCGCCACCGCCATCGCCATCGCCGTAGGGTAGAATCTTTTCTCAACAAAACCCTATGTGTTCCTTCTGTTACAGATGTTTGAGATTACACTGTTTGTTTAGTGAAGGGCCGTGAGCTCTTTGGCAAAGCTGGGCCGTAGGCATTCTTCAGTCAGGGCTGCAGTGAGCATCTCTGCCGTGAAAGTATCATCGGGTTTCAAGCCCAGCGCCTGCAGCGCACAAGTGAGAAAACAGGCAAACAAGCATCTCACGAGAAAAACCTTGTGATAAAAGTCGATGGCGATACCAGTGCTTCCCTACGTTAGGAGGCAAAGCGTTAGAAGCGGCGTGGTGTCAAGAGCACAGAGAGAGGCACCTGAAGGTGATGGGTGAAGCCCAGCGCTGCATATGTCGTAGCTCCACGAGGGCAAAGAGCCAAGGCTTTCTCGTACATTGATATCGCCTCCGGATATAGTCTGGTGGCACACATTAGAGCTCGTCACGACGAGACCAAGAAGCACACGCTTACTTGAGTTTACGCAAGGTATGCGCCAGGTTGACAACAGTAGGCTCCCAACACAAGGTCAGGCTATTCCTCGTCTCTTGGACAAGAACCAAGGCCTTGCGTAGCCACCGAGCTGCTTCTTCGTACCTGCGGCAAACAAGACTTTTAAAAACCCCGGCCAGTCCGCATTAAACGGTATGCCTACTCCCTGTTGCGGTAAGCCATGACACCGAGCTCGTTGTACACGAGAGGATCGGTTGGACAGATCCCTTTGGCCTGCATAAAGAACTGCGCAAACGAGAATGCTGACAAGGACGATGGCGATGATCATGCAAACCTGCTCGGCAAGGTTGAGGTTGTTTGTTCTTAGATACTCCATGCCGATGCACAAAGCGGGCATGTGGCAACTGCATTAACAGCATAAAACATTCAGAGCGCGCCAAGTTCCAACCTCCCCTTACCCGGAGAAAAGACGCGCAGCGGTTCTGTATGCAGCCATAGCCTGGTCACTTTCGTCCTGGGCTGCATACGCATTGCCAAAACCCAGCCATGCAGGATAAAATGCCCCGTCCAACGTCGTTGCCTTGCTGGTGTGGCCAGTCAGAAAACACTTGGGAGATGCCTACAATCAGGAGATGCCTACCAGAAGTAGCGGCGGGCGTGATCAAATTGCCGGATGCAATAGTAGTAGCATCCCACGGCGAACCAAGCAATGGGCCTGCAGCAAAGTTTTGAGTGAGGCATACAAACTTTGACAGGTGGTAAGTACCTTTGAGAATACTCTTGGACGAGATTGTGTGCTCTTAAAAACAGCTCGTTCTTGCGCCCAAGCTCTAGTGCGGCACCTAGATGTAACGGCATACACTTGAGATGGTAAGGATCCTTTTCGAGCAGCCTAGATGAAAGCGCCAAATGACATTAGACTGACAATGCGGGAGCTTACGTCTTTGTAATGTCGTAGCACAATTGAAACTCTCCTCGATGATAGAGGTAGTCTGCTCTGCATGCCAAGACGTCGTTGTTATCCTTCAACGACAGGCCCACGTTGCTGTGTTTCTGTGGTTCCCTTTCCAGTTCAGAAAGCTTGGACTCGAGCGCACTTATCTGTCCATATTTCTTGGCTTGACAAGAATAAAGCAGTGAGAGCCAGCGATCGTCTGCATCGAACTTGAGAGACGACAGGAAGGCTACTTCTGAAACGAGGAAATGCGTCAGGAAGTGAGAAGCATCCTAACCGGGTGGCAAGCAACCTTTCTCGCTGGAGAGCATGTGGTTGTCTACGATGTGCTCGTACGCCTAGAGCATGCTGGTCAGCACCTGGTTCCAAAACACGATTCTGCCTTACCTCGTAACAGTATGGGTCTACTCTAAGGGACGCCTTGTACCTGAACGTAAGATTAGTACTGTCAAGCAGCGAGCTGATTGCAAAAGTTACCAGCAGAGAGCTCTGGTCCTGTTTTCCAAAGCTTCGCATGCGCGCCCTCGCAGCAGACACAGCGCGGCAGCGATCTGGGAAAAAAAAAAACGAGCGAGGACATGAGTTGCTAGTATACCAACACGAGGGGCCAACATTGATGCCTGCTTGGTGGCCCGACTCTGGATCAATGTCGTCCTTCATGGGGTAGTTTCCATGCTGGTCAACCTCGTAGTCGCCCAGTACCGAGAGGCACTCGTCCCATTCCTTGATCTCTTCCTGCCGGGTGAGAGTGCCAGAGTCAGCGAGCCAAACGAGTGTGAGACAAGAGACCAAACACTTTGCGGCGAGGTAGCGGTAGCGAGGGTGGAGGTGGAGGAGGCCGTGAGTGCGAAGCAGATGCAGCGCCCTTCGAAACTGTCTGCCCTGGAAGAGTGCCTGTGCGTGCAAATGCACATCCTCTTCCGTGCCTCCCACCGTCACCAGCTTGTCAGCCAGGAAGATGGCAGACGCATGGAGATGCTTGTCCAAGCAGTCCCTCACCATCGCCCGCAGCTTGTTCTCCATCGCGCTCGCTCACCTTAAACCCTAGGAAGGAAGCGAGAGAGAGAGAGAGAGAGAGAGAGAGGCAGGAGGAAGCACTCAAGTTAAAATTCCCGGTCCACAACACATGGAGAGATCACAGCAGGTACTTGCGCGCAAGTGCTCGCACCCTGGTGTCGAACTGAGCGGACGTGATCCGGGATCCAGGCACGTAGAGCGGGTTGAGAAGGATCTGCGCAAACCAAAAACAAGAGGAAAGAAACTTGGCGACAGAGGCGTTGGAAGCGGCACCTTGATGTAGAGCTCGTGCACTTCCTGGAAGAAGCTTTTGATGCTGTCCTCGCTGCGGGAGTCGTGCAGCAGCATGAGCCGCGTGCGTGCGGGAGGGAGAGGAGAGTCAAGGGGCATATCATCAAAGGCGAGGCTGTCTAAAGGATATGGCCAGCAGTCATGTAGACCGAGACGAGGAGCTCGTTGAATTTGTCCACTCCTTTCATGAACCTGGCCCGTTCATTGTGTGTGCTCATGAACAATCAGCAACCAAGATGTGGGGACTTACATGGAGTTGACGGTCCATGCCACATCCTCCACCACGTCCAGCGCCGCGTGCAGCACGAACTGATGCTGGTGCATCGCCTCGTCCCTCTGTCAATACCCAAGCAAGCACGCTTCCATTTCCCAGCCATTTGCGCCTTGTGTACCTTGGGGGCATTTCCCAGCTCCGTCTCGTAGATGGGACTGTTGTTGCGACCCACGATGACGAAGCAGGCGGTCGTTGCCATTTGGATCCGCCACAAAAGCCCAGCAAAGCGAGCCCTAGCGATCGAGTCTACATACAAATCATATGTCCGAGGCGTAATAGTGTGTGGACGTATCCTCCTCGCCTCCCAGCTGCGGTCGCCCGTGGCTGCTGGCCGACACGCTCTTTCGCACGCTTTGCCTCCTCTCGTCGCCTCCAGCCTTCTTGCCCAAGTAGTGATCAAACCGGAAAATCTCCTGCGAGTGGATCACCTTGAGCTCCCGCACCACGTTCTTATGCCTCTGCACCCATCATCATCAGCACTATCATCATCAGCGTCGCCGGAGCACGCACGCACCTGGTGGCATCGCTCCAGGTCCTGCTCTCTGTTTCGCTGGAGATCGTCCCGAGCTTGCGCTGCTCGCTGGAGCAAAACCTCGAGCTCAACGTGCTGCTTGGACCGCAACGCGTTCTCTTTGGCGCCTACTTCGTTCTGAAACGATTGCAGCGTCGCCTGCAGCTCTGCCTGCTCCATCTGGTCGGCCTGCCGCTTCAGCTCCTGCGCGTCCATGTACTTGCCTTGCTTACCCAGGCATTCCTGCATCGGATATATTGGTACTTCAGATGTACGTGCCTTGGGCTCGAGGCAAATCCACGATACCTGGACCTTGCGCAGCCGTAGGAGCTCGCCGGACCACTGGGGCTTGGAGGGCGTCTTGGCATTCAGTTTGGTCCTCAAAGCTTGCAATGCAGCCGTGTGTTGGCGCTTCAGCTGGCCAGCATGTTCCATCACCTCACGGTGGAAGTTTTTAAGCTTGTCGTCCCAGAGCTGAGAGCAAGGGAGCAAGGTTTCAACGTTAACCTCCGGTAAGTTATCCACGTACCCGGTTCCTTTCTTCGAGCTCTCTTACGTACGCCTTCTTGGCCATCTCCCGTTCCCGCAGGTGCCTGTCAAGCATTGTCGCCCGCCGTTTCTCGTCTTCGACCATCTAGAGCAACGAGCAAAGCGTTGGCTTGGCTCATCGTAAAGGTAAAAGAGGACCCCTGGACAACCTTAAGCTTTTGCAGCTTTGCGACCGCAGCATTAGCTTCCAGATAGTGGCCTTTCTTCTCGCATGTCCTCCTGAGCTCGTCCAGCTCCTTGATGGTGTCAACAACCTACACTGAGCACCACAACTTCAGGTACCGTGCACCACCGCCGACACCCCACTGTACATACGAGGGGGATGTTGAGAGTGGAACCTTGGGATCCAGTGCCGGATACGTCTCCTCAAGATTCGCTCTCCTACTCGGGCTTTTCTGGAGCGTTCTAAACACGTTTGGGGAGGAGCAAGTGCTCATGTCGACCGATCGCCTGCAAAGGTAATGTAGCTCAAGCCACAGTTGATACAAGACATGTGTGCGTACGCACCTCGAGTTGAGGAAAGAAGGATAACTCTCAAGCCGAGGCTGCAAAGCGAGGATGCATCAGTGTCCATTGCCAATTCAATGTGAAGGAAAGTTACCCCGCTCGGGCCTGGGCTTGTGGGTTGCCTGGAGCTTGCCCTGTTGATGCAGCGGCTGCGGCTCCAGGGCGGGGCAAGCAACTCTTCGCCACTCTCCTCGAGGCTCTTCTTCCTGGACCTGTCCTCCACCACCGCCGGCGTGGGCATGCTGAACGCGATGGTAGTGGAGTCATCGGGTGGCTCAGGCGACGGGGGCGGCGACAGCGCCGCAATCTCTTGAACATCGGCCGCGGCGTAGTCGATGTCCGACTCCACGGTCAGGGCTGGACTGTAAGGAGCGCCCTCTTCCTGCTGCTGCTCCTCCTCCTCCTCCTCTTCAGCGGCAGGGGGCGGCGGCAACGGGTCAGCAGCAGCAGCCATGGCGCTCTACATGTGAATGCATTCCAGGGGATTGGGTTGCGAGCGTGAGAGAGAGAGAGAGAGAGTGAGGTGGCGCGTGAAGCCGGCCGACTTTGCTTGGCTTGCGACAGTTTCTCACCTTCGCCGCGGGAAAAAGACCATGCCCTAACGTACATTTTAGGGCGCGCGATGAGGTCAGCGAGGAAGAGGAAGAAGGAGGACGAGGACGAGGACGAGGATGCGGAGGAGGCGGCGGCGGCGGCGGAGGAGCGGGCGGCGCGGTTCGTGAGCATGCCCTCAAAGCAGGTACAGGAGCGGATGGAGCGGGCGGTAGAGCACCGCTTGTATCTCATCGACAAGGACATCGAGGCCGATTGCAGCCGCGGCAGTTTCGTCATCCTGGGTGCCACCGGGAATGTGTACAATGTGACCCTGGACAAGAATCCAAGCTGCGACTGCCCAGACTTTGGCCGCTGCTACACTTGCAAGCACATCCTGTTTGTGCTGCTACGAGTTGTCAAGCTCCCGCGCACCGACCACCGCTTGTGGCAGAAGGCGCTCCTCTCCTCGGAGGTCAAGGAGCTGCTGCAGATGTGCGCGTCCAACGGCGAGGAGGCGGTGCTAGCCAGCCAGCGGGTGCGCCAGCGCTTCAAACAGATCCACGGCAAGGACAAGGACGAGGATGGACACACGGAGGCCAAGAGCATCCAGAGGAGCATTGAAGGGGACTGCCCCATATGCTACGAGGCCATGGCAAGCGCAGATGGTAGCCCCGCCGAAGAGCTCGTCTTTTGCAAGTCATGCGGGAACAACGTTCACAAGGACTGCTTTGACCGCTGGAGCCGCAGCAAGTCCTCGTCCTATTCCAAGGTCACTTGCATCTACTGCAGGGCGGTGTGGGAGCACAAATGCGGTGCCACAGCCGACGCTAGCTCCTCCGGCTATGTCAACCTGGCGTCCTACTCGGAGGATCACAACGAAGCCAACACCAGCCTCGAGGCCCTCTACCCCGGCTGCTACGAGTGGATCGCAAGACGATGAAGATAAGGTGGCTTCCAATTTCTAGCTCTGCTCAATCCACACCCGCGGGTTGAAGTGTACAGGAGTTCCACGTAGGTTGCACAAGCTTGCCACCTTCTTCACCGCTGACAAAATGTGACTCTTCTTTTCTTTGACCAATTCCTTCAACGCTTCCTCCCTCTGAGACGCATCCACTTCCCCATCCTGCGCTTCGTCACCCCCATCCCTTTGCCTGAACTTCATCATCACGAACGTCTTGCTGCTGTCGTACTTGTTCTCAGTGTCAACAACGTGCTTGAGCTTTGGCTGCTGGCTTTCCTTGCTCTCGAAGAGCTCTGCGGATAGCCGCTTCGACAGGAGCTCCGTAAATGCCTTCTCGTCGCCGGGATCCAGATGCACAAGGATCATCACTTCCCAGCATCTCTTGAACTGAACTTTGCTGATCTTCAACTCCCGCCGCACCACACAAGCCAGGTTGGAGGGGGGCAGGAGCTCCTCCGACCCCGTTTTGCCTTCCTTTATCCGTTGGACAGCAAGTCTCACCTGGGATAGCACAGGCGTGGAGTCCAGCAGCCGCATCACGTCCATGCAATCACGCAGTAGCTGCAGCTTATCGGATGGATCCTCCATTGTCACGTCGAAGGAGTTCCTGCGCATGGCGATGTCGTTGACGGCATTCACCAGATGGTAGCCGTGCTGTTTGTTCTGGTAAGGTGGGAGCACCAATATCTGGAAAAGGAGAGCGGGGTTGAAAAGATGCGTCAGAGAACGCTCCAAACTTACTTGACTGATGCGGAGCCTCGAGCTGTCTGGGTAGTGAAAGAAACGGTAAACGTTACAGAAGCCGGTCACCTTGTGTACGTCCCTTGTCGTTTCAACAGCCACATAAACTTCCCAGCGTGGGTCATCCACTTCGATGCAGCTTGCACCTGTCGCTCAGTCTCATCAATCCTCTCTACCTGAGAATACGACCTCACAAACCTTCCACAAACCACAGGACAAGTGGATTCAGCCTTTGATGCCAGACTCGTGACTCCGAGCTCGCTAGCTCGAGGCGGAAAACCTGAAAGCTCCCATGATTGCAAAAGCAGTGGTTTAGGATGCACCAACCTGGTTTCGAGTGAAACTATCGGCCGGTGCTTGCCACGAGGCTATGTGTTCCGCATATTTCGATAAGAGATCACTGTGTAGTGAATGATAAGAGCAGCAAACCCAGGTGTTCCACAAACCTGAACTGCGAGCTGAATGAGGAAAGTTGCTTGGAAAATATATCTCGGTTCTCGACTAAGCCATCGCCAAAAACGTCCTGCAGGCCCCACAATGTGAAAGACGAAACCTTACAACTCGAAAATAAACCTTCAAGACATCTTCCAATTTCTCGCGAGACTTGGGAACCTGGAGACACTACTTGGTTAGATTCTTTGAGCTCCACAAGAAGACCTTCTACAACTTACAGGAACGATCGAGTCGTACTTGATATCCGCATAGGCATGGAAGGAGGAGCTGTGCAACCAGATATCGACCTGAGAGAAAGAGATTATTGCCGTATTTGTGGTGATCCTGGCTAAACCTTGAGTCCTTTGTAGCCGTAGATTTTGCCGCTCTCGCCGAAGTGCTCTTCCAGAAATGTGGGGCAGAAGCCTAGATTGCTGTCTTGGAAGTCATCGATGGAGCTGACTGTGAGGAGGACAAGCGGCAATGAGAAGACGAAGCGAGAAAGGAAACGACATTTATACCGAGGTGTAGTTTGATGGCGTCTTTGGCCAGGCAAAACTCCGCATTTCGATCTGCAAGGGGAAAAGTGACTCCCGACCGTGGCGAGTGAGAGGAAAACACACCTGCGGCGCTAGAGAAGGCCACTTTCCGCCGCTTGCTGCTGCTCTCGTCCCCCATGGCAAGAATTAGGGTTTAAGGGAGGAGCTGCCCTAATTTCCTAATTTAGTGGATTAAATTTATAGCATTTTTACGTCTTAATCTTTCTTCCTGCCTCTAGCTGACTTCTTGCCACTCCTCCGCCTCGCTTTGCCATTGCCCCCCAGAATGCCGCTGGTGATTGAGTAGCCCGCCACTGCAACCATGGTTCCAGCCACGGCAAGCGCCATGGGATGGCTCCCCAAGAACTGGATGACAAGCCCGTCAGAGAAATGCAAGCATAACCACAGGGGCACACCTGCAACGCCTGGGAGTATTTGTGCTGGAACGCTTCCATGAGATCGCCTCCGAGCGCAGCTTCCGGCGGCACCTCCTCCGCTCTCGTTTCCTTCCATCCTTGCTGCAAGCAGCAGCAACGCAAACGGTTTCCAAGGAGAAACGAAAACTACCACAAACCTTGACAAACTCCGAGATGGTTTCGGCGGTCCAGTCGCCCGAGTAGTCAAACATGCGCCTGTCGTGGAACAGCTTGAGCTGTGGCGGGTTCGTGATGGAAAAGCGCTTGCGTGTCTTGGGACTCTTGGCTACATCCACCTTTGGGAGAGGACGCGACTCGTCTCACGAAACCAACGAAGTTCAACTTACCTTGGCAAAGAGGGGGTGCCCGTCCCTCGTCTCTTCGAGAAGCTTGCGAAGAGCGAGCTCGGCATCTTTGCCCCCCTCGAAATCCGGATCAGTGAAGAGCACCAGCCTGCACAAGCACGGCCACACTGCCAAAGGGTTGCTTCCCTGTGCATTTTCTTACCACGATCCAGTCGTCTGCCCGGTTGCTGCTTGTGTGTCGTGCTCGAAATTCCTGTCGCTGAGGTACAAGAGGTGCGGCCCTTCCACGGCGTCGTCACCAGCGGCAGCGCAAGCGCCCGCCGCCACGAACACCAGTAGCAGCAGCAGCAGCAGCAGCACAGGGCGCTCCATGTCTGGATCAAACAACCAAGAAACGCAAACCCGAGTCGCTTCTCCTTCTGAATATTTGAAGAAAAGTGTTTTGTTTTGGTGTTTTCTTCACACAGGAAAACTGCCCGTCAGCTTTATGTGCTCGAGCGTTCTCGACAGACCAAACTGCACCACCGACTGATGCCCTGCTCTGAATCCATCGCCATATGCCGGTGATGAGTCCATGGCAATCTGGTGGAGAAAGAATTCCTGGAAACGATCGTTGTTGATCGACTTTGGCTTCTGCTTGCCACCTGACGAGCTGCTGCTGCTGCCGCCGCTGCTGCCGATCTGCGACTCGAGCCAAGTGTGTGCCATCACTTGACAAATGCCCTCCTCCACCGCTGGATTCAACTGGTGCGGATAGCCTTCAACAGAGAGAAGCAAATATGTGTCGAGCCAAGTTCTAGCAACACAAGTTCAGGGAGCTCACCATTTAGCCGGAGCCAGGCATGCATGAGCTCGTGAGCCAGGATGGAGCCAGTGAGCAGACTGCAAACATGATCAGAGTGTTTCGTGGCGAGAACTGAACTGAACTCACCGTGGAAGGCCGTACAGAACAAGGATAGCGGTGACTTCGCACTGGCGTCGGAGCCTGAGTGATTCCTTGCGCATACTGCCCACTGGATTGCTACGTGAAGCCTTTGGCTTTCTGTACACCTGAAAGCGCTTCACCATCAGAAACTTTCCAGAGGTTGGAGGTTTCGGACTTACTTACAGTGCTAACAGTCTGCTCCTCCGACAGGCAGAGGCCCCTTGTTTCTGGCAAGTGGTGGTAGCCCTGTGCGCAAGCAACAGAATGAATGCCTGCCTATACACGGGACGAGCATACAAAAACTTACGTCTCGTTCGTGCTCACGAGCTTCGTTGAGTGCTTGTCGCTCCACCAGAAGCATCGGTATCGACTGCGAGATCTTCATGTTCATTCCTTCGTAGAAATCCAGAATTTCGTGGTAGAGATGCTGGCACTCGTGCGTATCCATGACTGCCGAATCTAAGCATTCTAGGCACAGCTTCCGTCCATCGTCCAGGCTCACAAACCGTGCGTCTCGAGCCTGCATGTATGTCACCCCGGCCGGTCAAGCAGTCGACAAGGCAGTAAAAACAGGCCTTACCTCCACTCGCTCACAACTGCAACATCGAGGGGTGGAGTCCTTTTCGTGCAAGGGGCAATACTTTTGTCCCCAGAAAGGATGTGCGCGGTACTCTATCAGGCCAGAGGAATTCGGTGGAATCTGAATGACTGGAAGTAAATACCATCCGCATATAAAGCTCAACAAAACATACAAACTGGTGGCAGACTTCACACTTGGGATGATACAAATCCCTGTAACACTCCTTGTGGTAGCGGTCACTCCCGGACAAGGCAAACTGCAAGAAATACACGAGGAGCGTGGGTGGAGGGTCATCAAAGTCGAGAAACCTGTGAACCCGATATGGGATCTCCGCATGCTTTGCAGCGGAAGCACTGTGGATGCCACACAGAACCAAGACAACTGAGGAAGCGCCCCGGTCCGATCTCCTGGTTGCACCCAGCACATATATATCTGTGCATCAAGGGAGTTGAAGACTACACACATAAACGGGATGGGCTGCCAACCTTTGTTTGCTCGGGCTGGGAGCACTCCTGCTTCTGCTTTGGCTGTCCAAGTCCATGCTCTCTTGCACGGCTCTCGCAAGCTCCTCCTCGTAGCTCGATCCAAACGGGCCAAATCTTTCTGCAGTGTGGACATTAGAGTGCGAACACAGGCCACACGGAGTTCTACCGTAGTCATTATTGTCTGGCGCAGGAGTGCGATGGTGGTCGTCATCAGTCAGCGCATTCCTGCGTCCATCCTGCGGGCAATGCAAAACAGATTACGGCTTGAAGAGCGGGGGCGATGGATGGGCAAGGGGAACAACATGCACGCGCTCGCATTCCTATGTTGCGTGAGGGGCGACGAGGAGAAAGAAACAGAGGAGGAATACCTTAAACATTGACGAGAGGAGGGAACGCAAGCGCGAGCGCAGAGACGACAAACCCCCGCTGCTGCTGGGCTGCCGGGTCCTGCTCCTGGGCTGGCGTTTGTCACGCACAGCCGGACAAACGAGATCGACACAACCCAAGGCACAGATATATGGATTGCATTGCAAAGCGCCGGGATGACTTACCTGGAGGAAGATTTCGTCGATGGGATTGAGGATCGACATGGACTGCCCCATTTTGCAGCTTGGTGCGCCGCTGCTGCTGCTCGTCTTCTTGTCCTCGTTGCCCCTTGGCCGCGGTTTGTCCAGTATGAAGGGCGGAGCATCTCAAGAGGCGCATCATCTTGGGACCCTCTTGAAGCGAGAGTAAGACATCCCTCTTCCTTCACTCCTCTTCTATTCACTCACACAATCCATGACGCGCACACCCTCTCCCAGCAATGACCAAGCCAAAACAAACACATTTGATCTAGGCTAAGCCACCTATATTTTCCTTTTTTCTTTTCTTTGTTTGCGATGTATCCATCCATCCATCCCTCTGATAAGTTATACTTAAATCCCTCCGGCCCACGTAGTACGGCTCGGATCACTTGACCTCGCCCTTGTCCTCCTGCTTTGCCAAAGCGGAGAAACGTCAAAAGATAACAATCGGCATGCACGCTTGCTCGGAATTCTTACAAGTGCCGAACGAGGGGCAGTAGGCGGAGGCTGCGACGAGGATAGCGCAGCCATGGCTTTCTCTTGAGTGTCGCTCGACTGGAATGCATCCTCCACAGCCCCCTGTTTCAGCCATCTCTCTCTCGCTCGCATTTGGAAAAACTAAACCAGAGAATCAAAACACCACCTTGACGTGTTGCATCTCCTGTGCATTCAGTGTCCGCGGCTCCGTGCCGATTGAGGACTGCCGCCCCTCCTCCTCGCTCGTCCCCTTCCTCTCGGCCATTTGCCACTGTCGTGCTAATCCCACTCCACCGCTCTGCTTATCAAGGTTGCTAGACGCGTGGCCAAAGAAGATATATAAACTTGTTTTTCCCAATGAGTACAAAAGCCAACGGCGCTCTCCACGCGTGTTGGCTGGCCGTGTCGATCGATCAATCGTCTATACAAGAACAAGAACAGAGTGGAGAATGAAAAATTTTCCTTCAGCGGTATGCACAGTTTCAAGTAAGGTGGAGTTGTGTTGTTGCTGTTGCCGAATAGTGTTGCGCGGATGTTATGTCGCGAGCCAAGGCTGAGATAGACTACAGGCGGGTGTGGAGGCGCTTGGCCCCTCGTTTCCATGCACGGCCTTGTGAAGCAGCGCGTACTGCTCCCTCACTGATTCCCACACACTTTGGTGAGCATCCTCCTGCAAAGGCACAAAAGCCAACGCGTTTGTTCCTTGTCCCAGGAAAAGCAAGGCTCACCTGTCCAAAATTGACTTCGGAACCAACGGAGAGGCCGACCCCGTGATATCCTACGAGACGTCTCTCTCCAATCGCCTTTTGGACCTGTGCATGGCAATGAAATGAGTCCATCGCCCGGACAAACCAGCTCTCTCACCTTGGGTGGAGGCGGCATGATGTTGTAGCTGAGTAGAGCCATCGGATACATGTGTCCTGGAACGTCACCGCGCTCAACCAGCCGCCTCATGTTGTCCACGGCCGCCGGGTCGAAAACTGCCTGGAAGTGCGCATGTCACCCTGTCACTAGCCACCACAGAAACAATACAAGCTTACTGGAGTCCATTCGTTGGTGACGGGATCGGGGCGATCACGGCCGCCACTAGGCGCAATCCATATTAGCTGCTTCCCGCTCCTACCAATGCTGGCAATCTGAGAAACGTTGCAAGTTAAGAGGCAGGACAGAGAAACCACCTGAGAAGGACGGCCAGCTCCTTGAGAGCCCGTGTGTTTGCACGTCGCTTCATCTCCACAAGCTCAGGGTCGTCGTTGATATGCTTCTTCGAATGAACGCAGATAAGATTCCTGGCGGCAAAACACCGGCACCAGTGTCAACGAAGAAGAGAAAGAGATCGAACCTTCCCATGCTGAAGGGCTTACAAAACGGGTCCAAGATGACCCTGTCCCCGGCTATGTACGTCTGTCACCGTTGACACAGTCACTTGGTCAGTAGAGCATATAGTCTTGCAAGCTGCGAAGCTCACATCCAGGAAGCAATACCATTCTCTCCGCAAGATAAGGATGCGAGCCCTCCAGAAGCAATGCGATGATTGCAGGATCGGCTTCCGTTTGATGGTTCGAGAAAAGAACCACGTTGTGCCCCTGCATTGATGGAGTCGAGAGAAAGATTATAGAGTTGATTGGCAAACAAGCAAGGAAAAAGAATTATACCTGTTGCACTTGGTTTTCGATTGCATCCCAGTGCTCCTTGTTACCGAGATATGATTTACTGCTCAGAGACAAGCGGTTTTACGAATTTTCTCTGTTGCCAACGCCACCACCACCTTACCCGAAGTGAAGCAAGGGACGGATGTACTCCTGGCCAAACTTGTAATAATCAAAAGGCTCCCTCATGCTTTGATGGTATGGAGGGAATGTGAAGGGATCCTGCAAGTGCGCACAACCTTATCCATGTTATAAAAGGCAAGCGAGCTAGAAACAAGTTCACCCGTAGCTACCTCGAATTGCAACAGGATTCGGTCAAGAACAGTTGCCATGATCGGTACCACCGATTTGTGTGCCGTCTCGGACTCGCTGTGTAGCACCTGACAAAGAGAAGCATGGACTTGGAGGATATAACTCGAGTGTTCTTACCGCATCCCGATAGTTTGCGTAAAAGTCCTTCATGCCCTCCCCGGCATGAGGAGGCAGCCTTCCCGCCGCCACTTCCTTGTCGATGCCAAGCAGCAATTCTGCGACCAAGGATAGGGTTTGAGAGTGGCAACAGTGAGCCAGCCAGCCAGTCGAAGTTCACCTTGTTCCGAGCCAACGCCCTGGAAGACGGACGAGTGCTCGTGCTGCTCCTCGTGGCACGAGGACGCCGCCGAGTGGTCATTGGTGGTGGCGGCAGCAGCAGCGGCGGCGGCAGCGGTGGTGGCAACGTCGTCTACTGCCCATTGCGCCGCGGCAGCCTCCACCATCTCGGCAATGGCGCCCCTCCCTCGACGCCGGGGCGACGGCCGCTCCTCCATGATGCTCCACGAAACTCGGCTGCTAACTCCGCCGCGCACACGTGGAAGCGCCACGCCACAGATTCGCGGAACTGGGAAGCACGACAGCGGCACACTGACGCTCACCCCTCCTCCGCTCCTCCCAGCCGCCATAAACCAAACCCAACCCAACCCAACCCAACCCTCTTGCGCGCGCGCTCGGGAAAGAGATTGCGTGTGTGTGCTTGCCTTCTTCCTTGCCTACCACTACCTAAACATGCCACCCCTGGTGGACTAGCCTATGCACCTTTACTAAACGCATTCATTCCAAATATCCAATATGTACACACGCAGCTAGACGATAGACACAAACACACAAGCCAACACACATCTTCTAGGACCTCCTGCTGCTGTACGTGATACCATATCCAAGCGCAGCCACCACGAACACCCACGCAGTGAGCAGCGCCGCCGCCGCCGCCAGCAGCAGCAGCGCCGAGAAATTCATCTCTGGTGCCTGCGAATTCGGCGACAGCGTAAAAGCACGTAATCCCAGCTGCTTGCTGGCCAGAGTTATCGCCTGTAGCAGAGCAGACTGCTTGTAACACAGGTTTCGGTCTGCACGCATCAGAGCATACTCGACCATGTCCAGCGTCGTCATGTCCGCAACCAAGTCTTGGTCGCGCTTTTCCATGTATCTGCCGGTGTAGCCTGCCAACATATCACGGTCAGCAAGCTCACAGAACCTTTTCAGGAGAGCACCTGGTATGTCAAATATCTGGTTTGCGGCAGAGACGCCCAGAATCTCCCCGAGATGAAACCGTGCAGCGATTCGGTCTTCGACGGACAGCTCGTCACCGTGAGTCATTACCACGACAGGTCTATCGTCTGCGCAGCTCGAGAGACGAGAGAATGAGCACTCCTTCCTCCTATAACATCGTCAAGTACCTTTGAATGTGAGGAAAGAACTCTTGTAGATCTTGGCAAGGGGAGAGCGGTGCGTTGCTCCCGCCCCCGCCCTTCTCTCTCTGTGGACGGCCACAGCGCTCACCACAAAGATGACAAAGTTAACTTGCCTGGTAGCGCTGTGCAAGTGATGGCCGTGCCGGGCTCTCACGAACAGCGAATCAACGTCAGGGCCCGCGGACCTGCATGTCTCATGCATGAGACCAAAACGTCGCTCTTCTTCTCTACCTCTGCACGATCCCTCCATGCTTGACGCCGTTCTTCATCCAATCGCGCACCATGCTCAGGTCCTCGTCGGTGTCCACCTCCGAGAAACCCCGAGTGTCAAAGACGCAGATGTTCTTCACCGCGTTGCACAGCATGTACTCCCTGAGGAAGAGAGTTCCATTCTCGCTCGGATCGCCTGGCACACAGTCAGACACGAGTTCTAGCTGATGCTGCTGCTGCTGCTGCTGGATCACTCACCGCACACTTGAGCTCTGTCGAAGCCCGCATTCATGTCGTTGACCACCCTGATCATGTTGTTGATGAGAGTGCTCTTTCCCGCACCCATCGGCCCAACCACGAGAAGCGTCGTCACCTCTGGCACCGCAAAGCTCTTGGCCTCGAAGCCCCCAGTCTCGGCAATCCATCTCCCCGGCCGATAGCTGCAATCAATGACGGTGAGCGTGTGCGCAAGCTATGGATGGTATTACGGTACCTTTGGATGCTCTCCCTGCGCTCCTGGATGTTCGCAGCCCTCCTGACGGCGGACTCGTTCTGGTGGTGGACGAGGCGGGAAAGCTTGTCCAGATGCCGCTCTTCCTCCATGTCCGAATCCAAGAGCCCCCCGCCCATGACCATGACAACGCAACCCTAGCTCGAAGCTCTAGGGTTTATGAGATGAAGCTCGTGAGCATCAAGAGCTTGGCCAACGCGCACGGCGATGGAGTGTGGGCGGTGGCGTGGGCAGCAGCAACCGGCGATCGTCCAGCAGTGCTGCTCACGGGGTCGGCGGACGAGAGCGTCAAGGTGTGGAAGGGCGACGAGCTGGACCTGGAGCGGACCAACAGCGGCAACTCGCTAGGTGTGGTGGCGGTGGCGGCGAGCCCAGATGGGAGGGTGGCGGCATGCACGTCCCTGGACAGTGTGGTGCGCATCTTCGACGTGGACTCCAACAGCACGCTGGCGACGCTGGAGAGCAAGCCCGCTGAGGCGTGGCAAATGCAGTTCCATCCCAAGGTGAGGGAGGCGTGGGCATTTATCGATGGGCATTTTCATGGATTGGTGTGGCACCCAGGGGGAGCTGCTGGCGGTGGCTGGCGGAGGGAGCGGCTGCGTCAACATCTGGAAGGCGAGCAGCGGGAGCCGGGAGACGAGCCTCAAGGCGGAGAGCGTGGACAAGGTCGGGGGTGGCAAGTTCGTGCTGTCGGTTGCATGGAGCCCGGATGGCAAGCTGCTGGCGTGCAGCTCCATGGACGGCACCATCGCCGTCTTCGACGTGGCCCGGGGCAAGATGCTGCACACGCTCGACGGCCACTCGATGCCGGTGCGCTGCCTCGCCTTCTCGCCGGTGGAGCCGCGCTACCTCTTCACCGCCTGCGACGACAAGCACGTCCACATGTATGATGCCGAGGGGCGGAGCCTGGTGAGCGCCATGTCGGGCCACGCGAGCTGGGTGCTGAGCGTGGCGGGGAGCCCAGACGGCGCCGCGCTCGCCTCCGCGTCGAGCGACCGGACGGTCCGCCTCTGGGACCTCAAGACGAGGAGCTGCGTTCAGAGCCTGACGGAGCACAAAGATCAGGTGTGGGGCGTTGCCTTCCGCCCGGGCAGGCTGGCCACCGTCGCGGACGACCGGAGCATTTGCCTCTACGACTACGCCTGACGTGGAGTATACCGTGGAGACATGGAGGACGGGACGGGGCGGCGTGGACGAGAGAGGAGAACACAAAATGGCAAACTAGACATTTTAAGTGGCATATGAGTCATGAGCACAAGGAACAGTGGGCATTACAGGGAGGCTCTGCCACATTGCACATGCCTCCTCTTATTCTTGTCCCGCCATCTATTCATCACATTACACTTCCTATGTTATATATGTATGTATGTATACGCATTTGCCTCTTTTGGTTGGTTGGTTGTTTTGTTGCGTTGCTTGCTTGCCTTTCCAAATGCCTCTTTTTAAGCCCCCCTTTGGTCTTGGCTTTGGTCCTTGCCCAGCGGCAACTGGCAAACAAAGAAAACACCCAACCAAAACGCTCAAACACCCCCAATTCCAGAGCCAGCTCAACCACAGCTATCTCAAGCTTAGCCAAGGGTCATAGGTAGCTACACCCACCACCAAAACATCTCATCTCATCTCATCCCATTTCATATCTCATCTCATCTCAGCTCAGCTATGATTCTATGTAAGACATGGTTTTAGCACTAAGGTGGTGTTGGTGTTGTTTAGCCTAGGTAGAACGTGAGTGTGAGTGTGTGTGTGGGGCGGGGGCACGGTGGCGTTTGTTTTTCTCTCTCACGAGTCATCACACTGCCCAGGACTGGCTGGACCTCTGCGCTGAGCCCTGCCGAGCGCTGTGCCTGGAATACGAGTGTGAGAGAGAGAGAGAGAGAGAGAGGGCGGATTCGTTGACTGGGGAGTGAGAGTTTGACGAGGAGAGAGAGAGAGAAAGAGAGTGTGTGTGTCGAGGGAGGCGATGGCGCGGCGCGAGGAGATTGAGGAGGAGAAGGAGAATGGGGGCAGCCATTTGTTGCGGCCACGGATATGATGCAGCGGCTGAGGAACTTAGCGTCTGGTTGGTCCTCCACGGCTGACACGGTAAGCCCCAAATCCGCCATTTACCCCCTTCCCAGCAAGCGCCACCACCAGCGCCATTCCAGCCACTGATTCGTTGCTCCTCTTGCCATGGCAGCAGCTTGGTGGAGCTGGTACCAAGAGGGCAAAGGTAGAACAAGGCGAGGAGCAAGGCATGGCGTCCTCGGTTAGCGCGGCCGGCTTGATAGCGAATCCCAGAGCTGCCACCGTCAACAGCAACGTTGTGGACCAGCTCCCGGACGAGATGCACGAGATGAAGATCAGGGATGACAAGGCCGCCACACACATTGATGAAAAGGTTTTGTAGATTGGCAATAACGCTCTCTCATTTCTGGTGATACTTATGGAAAGTCGGGTTGATTCGATGCAGGAGGTGGAGGCGGCGGTGATTGACGGCAATGGTACCGAGACCGGACACATCATTGCCACCACAATAGGAGGTCGGAATGGCCAACCTAAACAGGTTTGCGCTCCTCCCTTTCTCCTACATTCACCTCTCTTTCCTCACTCGTCTTTCTATCTTCTTCGTGTGTGGCAGACAATCAGCTATGTCGCGGAACGGGTTGTGGGAACGGGCTCTTTTGGAATCGTTTTCCAGGTATTGCTAGTCCAAACAGTGCAACAAAAGCAGGCTTTTATCGTTTCTTCTTTCTCTTTGGGAATGCAGGCCAAGTGCTTGGAAACCGGAGAAACCGTGGCTATCAAAAAGGTCCTCCAAGACAAGCGCTACAAGAACCGAGAGCTCCAGATAATGCGCCTCCTCGACCACCCCAGCATTGTCTCCCTCAAGCACTGCTTCTTTTCCACCACCGATAAAGACGAGCTCTACCTCAACCTCGTCCTCGAGTACGTGCCCGAGACCGTCTACCGGATTGCAAAGCACTACAACAGGATGAACCAACGCATGCCGCTGCTGTACGTGAAGCTCTACACCTACCAGGTAACCACACACCCCGCAACAATGAAAGTAGAGACAAGAAATGTGGTTGGCATGGAACTGACATTTGTGTTCACGGAATCTAGATCTGCAGAGCATTGACGTACATTCACGGTGGCATGGGTGTCTGTCATCGAGACATTAAGCCGCAAAATCTTCTGGTAAAACCCTCCTTGTGCTTTCGAGTCCTGGAATTCTTATGCTTTTCTTTTGCTGGTTTGCATCAGGTAAATCCACACACACACCAGCTCAAGCTCTGTGACTTTGGGAGTGCTAAAGTCTTGGTGGGTGCTTACAAATAGGATCCTTGGAATTCAGCAGCTGATTTGCGTTTCCTGCTTTTCTTGGCAAAACAAACAGGTGAAAGGAGAGCCCAACATATCGTATATCTGTTCCCGTTATTACCGTGCTCCGGAACTTATATTTGGTGCAACTGACTACACAACAGCCATCGACATCTGGTCGACTGGATGCGTTCTGGCTGAGTTACTTCTTGGTCAGGTTGTATACCTCGTCCTTGCAACTCTTCCATTATGCCACTCACCGTCTCATCAATCATTTCCACTGTGCAGCCTTTGTTCCCAGGAGAGAGCGGCGTGGATCAGCTAGTGGAGATTATAAAGGTACGCATGCATTCTTGCTCTCTTTTTTCTTTTTGCGAGTCGCTCTTGCTCAAGACTTGCTTTTGCAGGTCTTAGGTACTCCTACTCGGGAGGAAATCAAATGCATGAATCCAAACTACACGGAGTTTAAGTTCCCTCAGATTAAAGCGCATCCCTGGCACAAGGTAAGAGCAATCATCCGGTATATCTCTCTCTCTGTCTCTCTTGATGTGGCTCGTTGACAGGTTTTCCACAAGCGGATGCCTCCTGAAGCAGTGGACTTGGTGTCGAGGCTGCTTCAGTATTCCCCCAGCCTCCGATGCAATGCCGTAAGTTGTCGCGTTCTCGTTGAGCGCTGGTTCATTTAACTTTAAATTTTTCACAGCTGGAGGCACTTGTGCATCCCTTTTTTGATGAGCTCCGAGACCCAAGCACAAGGCTACCCAATGGACGACCGTTGCCAGCCTTGTTCAACTTCAAACCACTTGGTAAATTGTTGTTGTGTGTCCCAAATTCTCCTGTGACTGAATGCTACTTAACGATCCAGAGTTGAAGGGCGCATCGCAAGAACTGCTTGAACGACTCATACCCGAACACGCGAGAAAGCAGGTCCCTTTTCTAGCGCTGTAGGCCTCGACGATCTGACAAGCAAGCCCTCTTATTTTTCTCGTTAACCTCTCTGGTATGATCTTGTATGTGTACTATGCTGATGCTACAACACTACTACGTACGACGACTGCTTCCCCTAGGTACAATACAATAGAGAGAACTGTGAGTGAGTGTGAGGGAGTAAAGAGATTACTACTATTATGAGTTACTTTCCAATAGGTTGCTAAGCAGAAGCTTGTCAACGAACGATTCGCTTGAGATGTATGTTTATACAGAAAGAAGGGTGTGGCTTTTCGACAAAAAATTGCGACAAAGTTGCTGGCTAAGAATTGATTGCCCGGCAGTTTTTCCGAATCTGGCCATCCGAGCCAGTCTTCACCTGGACCTGTCCCAGTCGCACCATAGCCAGCTGGAAGTTTGCAGAGAAGCTGTTTGCGTTTTGAGCAAAGGCGTTCACCAGCGGCTTTGTCCTTGGATCAGTAAACAGCGCCTGGTCCGACGACATGAGGCCCTTCCCCGCCTGCAAGTTGACGAAGTAGGCATTGTCGAAGATGGTGTTGCTCAATACATCCAGGGGCAGCAGCTTGGTGGCGTCTGGACTGGGAGACGGGCAGCTCGACTCCAACATCTTCCCAAACGTCGGATCCAGCGTCGGATCGCTTCCGTTGGCACTAAACCGATTCATGATCGCTCCACAGTGCGCAAAACCAATGGTATGAGCGCCTACACAGATTAGTGAACACAACTGAGAACATCCACCAAGTCGCGTTTGCTCACCTGAAAGAACCACCAGGTCCGATTGAGACAGACCCTTGGCGCTGAAAGATGCTGTCGACTGGTCCACGGTAAAGGATGGATCTGGTAAGTTGGAGGCGACGACGGAAGCCTGTGAAACAAGGCCGTCTCTCCGTCCAGTTGGAACGTCCCAGTGCGGCCCTCCAGACTAGCAAAAAAGAACAGAGATAGAGCAGTCAATCAATGCACTGTGCTCTGCCCGTGGCCAGTAAACAAAAGAGCAAAGAGGTTATCAACTTACAAAGAATATGGCATCCCTGGCCGCCAATGCTACTACATCTGCGCATGACACAGTTCCGGGGCACACAGCTTCCAGCGTGTTCTTGGCGGCGTCAATCACCTCGTAGCCACCCACGGTTGCGCTCGCCCGGCTATCTTTCTCCGCAGTGTTGTTTGGAGTTGAGTCGAGCAAGATTGAGGCGTCACACCCCTGTGGCACAAAACGCAGGCATGAGTAGCGACATCAGATGCAGCTCGAGCTCTAGCTTCAAACTTACTTGCACGAAGCAGTCGTGGAAGAAGAGCCGAACTAGACGCGATGCGAGCGGGCGATTACTTTGGATCGCCATCATCACGGATTGTTGCACAATGCTCTCGGCTCTCGGGCAGGAGCTGTCATAGAATCCAACGAGCAGCTGCGCTTGAATGCATACAGCAGAGAGTTGGAGAACCAGGACGAAAAGAGGCTCCAGCATTCTTGAGCTTGGCGCGCGCAGGCGAGGCGGCATTGTGCCGTGTAGGAGATTACTACGACAGGGGTTGTGGAAGGTTTTAGCACCTGAAGCCCATGACAGAAGTAGTGCCGCGTTTTCGCCACATAAGTCCAAGCCGCAGCTGCATAGTGTGAGCGAGTAAAGTCGAGAACCCAAGCACTGACTGTCTCTCTCTGCAACAAAACAACAAGAGGAGAGAAAATCGGTGAGTTGAATTGAGAAGCCAAACACTGGTATATCATACTCGCCCGACCACAAATTCTTGTAACGACCGAATTGCATTGAATGCCGCATTCGCCACCACACTTGCTCGTTCTTCTTCCTTCCCAGCCTGTAGAAAAGAAAGAAAGAAAATAAAAAGAAAAGAGAAAACAAGGCCGCCAGCTGCTGATGTGTTTCGGCACGGCAAGCACCGTGCTCTTTCACCCATTATAACTCCGCGTACCTTAATTTCTGGCTGTCAGCCATGGTAGCGTAGTGTTTGTAGACGCAGTATCATCTTGTTTTCGTGATAGATTTCACAGACCAATAGCATCCAGGAGCTGTGTGTGCTTATCTACAGATACCAGAGAGTTTGCAGTGAGCATGCCACTGGCAGCTACAGCAGGAACTCCGATTCCTGGAAACACCGAGTCTCCGCAGCAAAAAAGATTCTTGATTGGAGTCTCGGGACCAGGGAACGTGTCCTTGCCTGCTCGGATAGCAGGTCCATAAGTACCACGATGCCTGCGTAAGAAACGCTCGTGTGTCAATGGTGTCCCGACGAGCTTCACATCGCAGCTGTCTGCTGAGAATCCGGTCCCGAGCGCTCGCTGCACAGCTTTCCACATGACCTGAACAAAGCAACCAGTCAAGGAAATCACGAACGAGAAAAGAAAGACGAACCTGAGACCGTTCTTCTTTGAGCTGTTTGTATGCAGCAGACTGGCGATCAAGGCCTTTCCAGAGGTGATAAGGCTCCGTTCCTGGCGTGTATGCGTGCAGGACGTGCTTTCCAGGGGGTGCGAGATTGGGACTGAGAGCACTTGGCATGGAAATCAGAACAACATTTTGTGGTGCGTCCACCCCTTGCTCCCAGCTATCAACCACTATATGATGGATTCCAAGATCAGCAGGTAGGTCCTAAATGGTTAGCTGATGGATAGTACTTTGTTCCTGGAGAAAGAGAAATGCCCACCTTTGCTTCCACGCCGAGATGCAAGTGCATAAAGGAATCGCACTGTGGAGTTTCAGTTGCACGCTTTTGATATTCTTGTGGAACCTCCTTTGGAGGGAGCAACGCCACCGTATTCCATATTGACGCATTGCTTATGACCGCTTTGCGTGCAACAACAACCTGCATTATATGGAAGGATCAGGATCTGTGGCTTGACATCTTTCGAGTACCTGGCCATTTCTCAGCTTTACCCCCTTTGCACGGCCATTTTCAACCAGAATTTGCTCAACGTGACACCCCAAGGAAAGCTGTCCGTTGTGTTTCTCGAGGCCGCGTACAAGAGCGTCGATAATTGCCTCAGTCCCTCCATGAGGATACTCCAGCATGCATCCAGGCTTATACCATTCGGAAAACATGTAGACCTGTTTGTACGAGTTCAAAGTTAGACAAGTAGCTCAACTGACGACAAGAAGCGAGCTCACCACTTCGGCGGCAAGTGTGCCATCAGCCTTAAGGCCCGAAAGAAGGAAAGGCAGCAAATCCAGCCAGTTGCGAAGGAAAGGATCCTTAATCTCCAGTGCGTCAAGAATCTCCGAAAAAGGTCCCAGAAGCCTCGACGCATTCAAAGCTCCTTTGAATCCCATTCGCATGAAGGATGAGATGAGCTGTGGGGAATAACGTCCCAGAACGGTGAAAAGAGCGCCCCAGTCACCTCGAAGAGCTGCTGGTGGCAGGGCCATGGCAGCTTCAGAGAGTCCCAGCACAGTTTCCTGAATTTTGATCAAGTGTCAGTCAGTGGCAAGTGAGTTTCTCAACACTTAACTTGAAGTCTCTTCCATTCTGCTACAGCATTCGAGCCACCATACTTTTCCAACACCTGGTACACAGATACTAACAGACGGAGAGTTATTTTCCAGAGCAAAAGCTTGCAAGCTTGTGCAAATACTTAGTACCTGTGGAAAATGGGATGGACCAATCTCGGACAAGAAGCTGCCTTGCGGAAGATGAACCATCCATGAATCATACTTTGCGCACTCGACACGCTCACCCAAGGCATCCAGTACCTGGAGAAGATACAACAAAGTTGGTTTATAGTTCGTAGTATATGATACTTTGACCTGAGCAAGGGGATTGGCTTGAGGACCCTTGGACGAGAGACCCGAGAAGAGCGAAGGCCCGGAATCGAAACGATAGCCTCCGACTTGGAAGGAATGCGCGGCTCCTCCAGCAAGGGTATGGCTCTCCAGGACTACGACGTCTTCGCCATACCTGGCAAGCAGGCCGCCACAGCTCAAGCCGCCAATCCCACTCCCAATCACCACATAATCCGCCCCCGCCTTGCCTGGAAATCAAATGTAGGCGTAGGAGGAGCGAGCAAGCGCGCATTTCTCCAGCTTACCTCTGAGGCCCTTTCGATCGATGGTGTGAACGACGCTCGGGGCCGAGACGAGGCTGGCCATCCAATCCAAATGCCCTAATCTCCCATCTAAGAAAGAGATCATGCTTGTGGAATACAATATAGCGATGCCTTGTGTGCACTACCTATCATCAGGAATCACTGGTCGACTGATCCCAATGCCTTGGTTCTCGGCAGCGATGATAGTTGTGATACTGACAGCAAGTTTGGAGCTTGGAGTGGTCCAGAGCAGCACCGTGGTGGGATACTACTCACACTCTTGCCCGGCGGCCGAGAAGATTGTGAGCCAGGTTGTGGCGGAGCAATTCGCAACCAGGCCGCTCGTCGCTGCCGGTATACTTCGACTCTACTTCCACGACTGCTTCGTAGAGGTAGCGCGCGAAAGTGGTAATCCTGTTCTTACATTTCTGTGTCTATCAAAGGGATGCGATGGATCCATTCTTCTCGACGCATCGCCCGACGGCACACCGCCTGAGAAGCGGAGCCTGGCAAACAATAACACAGCCACTGGATTCGAGCTCGTCGACGCGGCCAAGAGACGCATCGAGGCGGTCTGTCCGGGCACCGTGTCGTGCGCAGACATTCTCGCTCTGGCCGCCAGAGACTCCGTCGCAATAGTAAGTGCCTGGATCATCATGGTCGAATAAGCTCTTCACATGATTGTTGCTCGGTGATATAGTCGGGGGGACCTCGCTGGGAGGAGCCAACTGGACGCTACGATGGAAGGGTGTCTCTGGCGTCCAATGCTGATGGCAGCATTCCCGGGCCTTCCTTCAACCTCACTCGCCTCATCCATTCCTTCGCAAACAAGACACTCGATTCCAGGGACCTTGTTACACTCTCGGGTACGATCAGATGCATGAAATAACATAAACCATGTCGAAACAATCAATGCAGGAGGCCACACGATCGGTCGATCCCATTGCGCCAACTTCCAAATCCGTCTCTACAATTCCTCTGGCACCGGGCTACCGGACCCGGCGTTGAATCCCGCCTACGCCACTGCTTTGAGACGGATCTGCCCAAACACTTCTCCGGCCAGGCGCGCGACACTGTCTCTAGACAGAGGCAGCGAGATCCCCTTCGACAACTCCTACTTTGTGCAGCTCCTGGCTGGCAACGGGCTTCTCAGGAGCGACGAGGAGCTGCTGCTGGATGGATCCATGCGGGGCCTCATCAGTGCTTTCGCCGCAAACCAGCGACTATTTTTCCGCGAGTTCGCCAAGGCTATGGTGAAGTTGGGAGGGATTGGTGTCAAGGATTCCATCCAGGGCGAGATCAGGCTGCATTGCCGGCGCGTGAATAGAAGAAACTCCGGATCATCCCCGCGAGTTCCCACGCCACCACCTCCAATAATGCGCTCCAGAGCTCCGCCACCTCCGTACTAGTATAAAGCCTGGTCTGCTAATACATTTTTAAGAAAAGTGGCGATTCTCTCTAAAAGAAGAAGCACTTTCTTCTTCCTTTGATCTAGAGTTTCAATCAGAAGCAAGCCAAAGAGAATCAAGTTATTGGGGGATCACACCATTTACCTAGATGGTGGAGGCAGCAGCATCATCGCCATTCGTGGTGGTGACAATGATGGTGCTTCTGGGGTTCACGCGCCTACAGTTCCTCCGAATTTCCCCGTTGGCCGACGTCTTGATCCTCAGCTCACCCATCTTGAGCAGAGACCTCCGGAAGCGCAGCTGGAATCGGTTCTCGTCCCCGGCAAACGACCGCACGATGCTCTCCGTCTCCGAGTCAAGGGTGAGCTCCTGGTCGGATCGCAGCAGCCCCCTCCCCGCCACCAGGTTGCGATAATAGCTGTTGTCCACCACGAACTCGGAGCCTCGGTCCAGCGCCACCCTGTTGGTGGCATTGGCGTTGCGCGGGCATGCCTGCTGGAGCTCAGCCCGGTACGTGGCATTCAAGGTTGGATCCGGGACTCCAGTGTTGCTAAAGTTGTAGAGGCGGGGCGAGAAGAACTGACATTGCGACTGGCCAATTGTGTGTGCCCCTGTGGAAGTTGGAGTTGGGTTGGCGAGATCTAATATATCACTATGTAATACGATATATTAGTTTTACGTACCCGAGAGGTGGACCAAGTCCTGGACTGTGAGGTTCTGTCGAGAGAATGAGTCCTTGAGCCTGGTGGCACTGTCGAATGGCGACGGCAGAGCGGCCTCGGCGAGTGTCCGGTTTGAGATCCGACCATCAAAGCGGCCGGTGGGCATGACAAAGAAGGGTGCTCCGGTCTAGAGAAACAAGAGTGATCATAGTGAGATAAATGATATCGCCATCAAGGATCAAACCAAACTTACGAGGACAACCGAGTCCCTTGCTGCCAGCGCGAGGATGTCCGCGCACGAGACGACGCCGGGGCAAGTGCTCTCGAGCCGCGCCTTTGCATCGTCAATCACCTCGAAGCCCCGGGCCGAGTTGATGTTTGGCAGCGCCTGCTTCTCGATCACAGCGCCATCGGCGGACGCATCCAGCAGCAGCGATCCATCGCACCCCTGCCAATTTCCAAATCAATCCTAGCGAGTCGAGCTGACCACCTAGAGCTTGTATACCTCGACGAAGCAGTCGTGGAAAAAGAGTCGCAGCAGTGCCGCCGGGATGGTCCGGTTGTTCCGGAAATGCGAGGTGACCACGTCTCGGACAATCGTCTCCGCATTCGGGCAAGTCCTGTTGTAGAAGAACTCCTCGGTGCGCGCATCTGCAAGACATAGGATTGCAAGCAACGATACCACAAGCATTCTTCTCGCCATTCTCATCTGTCTCTCTCTCTCTTTCACGCTGTGTTAGAATGGCTTCTCGAGTTAGATGAGTTTATTTCCTTGGGAAAGCTAAAGGCGAGCAATAGTACAGTAGGCTTTTGACAATGGTAGCACCCTTCTTTTGCCTTTTGCCAAAGTGAAAAAAAAATAAAAAATGAAAGAGCCAAATCTTTTTCCTTGACTGCGACTGAAGCAGTGCAACGAGCATTTCAGTGCCAAGTGCCCGACGACACAAGCACACAGTTGCTCGCGTGGCCCTCGCAAGCCCGTGTTAGCTGGGACTTTTGCGATCATAGCTTCTCGTTAGAGCTTGTGATTTGTCGCGGAATCCGTGTCAAAGTGCCTCCGGTATATTATATCTCAGATTTTCTTGACAAGGAAAGCTACGTTTGTGTGACTGGTCAATCGCCGAGCGGGAGGCTCGTCCCTATGAGATTTCTCTTCTTTCCATAGAACAAGATCCGCTTTGATCGCGGAGATATTACTCGAAAGTTCTTCTAGGAAACAATGCCAGTCAGATAAGAAAGACGAGACCGACAGCTTACCAAATTAAAGGAGACCACTCTTTCGTTCCTCAGCTTTCTGACTTCAACTTGCGAGCACGTTTCTGCTGAGGTGGAGATGGAGGCGTGTCTGAAAATCTTGCTGGAGCCTGTACCACAGAAAGATACCAGAATTGGCATTCGAATGTAGCGTACGCAACATTTACCTTGCGCTTATGATCGCGCTTGCCTATTCGTTCTCCTGAAACATGTTAACCATTACATATAAAACAAAAACCAACACAATGGCCACTCACCTGATACAGCAGCAGCACGGTCACCTCCTCGAAATCCCCGCTGTAACCAGGAAAAATTCACCATATTAACCAACATTAAGAAAAATAAAGAACACCTTCGGGGTATTAGGCGTTGAAACTTCTGGGTGTGTTTCCCGCATGAATGAAACAGTCGCCTCGTTCCATTGAACCTACAACTCAGCGTCGTTAGATTAAAGAAAAAAGGAGACAATTATATATGAAGCACGCACCGCCTTTTGAAGGTTTACTAGATTGAGAACTTCCCTTCTCAATTCCAAATGCTCACGACATATCGATTCGGTAGGAATTTTCGGCTCCAAACGGACCTACAAGCATGAAAGTCAAAAGGAATGAAATGCCTGTCCCATTGGATTACCCCAAGTTCATCAAGTAGTATTTGCTCGATACGCTTCACTATCCGTGCTCCAACTGATGAAAGCATACTTTGTACCATTTGCCCCAAATTAGGACCTCGAAGAAACACGCGATGCTGCTAGCGAAGTCAAGGTGAGTAGACAAAAGAAGCACAATTTAGACAAAAATTACGGACCCCACGAGTAGTAGTAGTGGTAGACGTCGCTGCTGCTGCAATATCAGTAGAAGGCTGCGTAAGATCTGTTCCAGGGGCAGAAGGTTGTTCTGCCTGCTCGTCCACCTGTTATGGTTATAGCTACGGTGTTTAATGCTGAAAGAAAAATGAAATGTAAAAATACGTACTTTACTCAGACGGGCTTCAGTAATACGCTTAGCCTCCGCGAGTACCTATGCAAGAACACCAGTTAAAAGGAGTAAGAAATGAAGTACATGCATACTTCCGCGTCCTCCCGCTCCTGTTGCCTCGACTGAGACAATAGCAAGCCAAGGGCGCGCTTGCGTTCCGTTTCATAATTGAAGTTGTATGCGTCCTGAAAGGGCATCCCGAATTCAGCGTTAGCTCAAGATTTCCTGCAGATTTATACCTTCACATGCGGATGGTCAGCCACCTCTTCAGGAGTCGTGGCCCTGGATAATATTATTGCTTTGGACGCTTCATATCAAAGAAGAACTGTTAGGAAGTACTGAGAAACACATACGGAGACGAGAGCAACCTGAGTAGTAGCGATCCTTGAGTTCCTCAACAGTACGTGGAGGAGAGAACCTGTCCGCTATTATAACGAATCGAAGGTCGAATTGCTCGCACATGCTGAACAGAAGGTCTGTTTCGTGTTTCGTCCATTTCTACAAAATAGAAAAAGAAAAAGAAGAAAAATTTTAAGCACACAAAATGGTCTTAGCACATACCGTATCAGCTAGGTGCTTGTTGTACTCGTCATCTGTATACTTCAAGACTGCCACAGACTGTTGGAAGTTTGATTCCCTTAGACGAAACACAAGAAGGCCAAAGAAATTAAAGGCACTCACTCTATTGTACTTCGCGAAAGCGTAATCCCCGGTCGGCACCACCGAGTCCACGACTCGCACCTAGAAAATAAAAATAAAAATGTTTCGAATGCTAAAGTCTTGAATGTACGTGGTCACAGACCCAATGTGATAGCTGCAACCCATCCGTGCGTGCCGAATTCGCAAAAGGAAGCCATTGCCACGAAATCTATCGAAAAACAAAATTTTCCAGATGCTATTTTGCAAGGAAGCCTACCTTTTGAGACGAAGCTTGACGCTGCTTGGTATCCACAGAGGCTATCAGAGGCGGCAGACCTCCAGTGAGAGCATATACCTACATGAATGCCCGTAATTCAATCCGGAGCTAGAATAGAGCTACTCTTTCTTACCTCCCGGGAGACACGATCGAGCTTCTTGGGCACCGTCTCCTTGGGCGCCCGGACGCGCTTGTCGCCCACAGGCCCTCCCTTGGGCAGCCCAAGGATGTCCTTGGCGTCCATTTCCCCCAACTACCCTAATATCCATGTAGAGTGTCTCTTGAGTAATAGTGATGGTTAAATGCTTTGTTCCTACAGCATTTGGCAAACCAACGTCTTCCATCTATGGCCCCATCCGCCAAGAGCATGACTCTCCATGTCAAAAGCTCGACGTAGATGTGCCGCAGTCGCAAGGATAATGTTGCCAATTAACGATGACAATGCATCAACTCCAATCGAAAGGACACACTAGTCCCATGAAATATTGTATTTTATTATATTGCAGAAAGAAAAGAAAAGAGGACTGATAGCATTGCCCATTAGCAAAACCTAAGGCGCCGTAGAGGTCGTGCTCGGCGGATTTGAGGAAGAAGAGAGCCAAGTTGAAATCGAAGTGAGACATGGCCGATGTTGCCTTGTTGAGCTTGTAGAGTAGTAGGTTCCATCTCTGGTTCATCTCCGTCCCCTGTCTGCTCTTGAGCACAGCCTTCTCGCCTCCCAGTCCCTTCAACGTTTCCAGCATCTCAATGGCTCCCCACACCGTCGTGTTGAGCATCGTGTGCAGGACGTTGCGAGGAGCAGCGTCTCTCTGCGCGAATGACAGCGACGAGAGCTTCGAAAACGGACCAAACGGCGTGTTCCCCAGGCTCCAAGTGTAGTCTAGAAACGTCGAGTTGTGCTCGCTGCTCCAGGTGAGGTACGTCGGTGTCACGCCCCACAGAGTTTGAAGCAGCGACGCGACCAGTGGACGCTCGAGCCTTCTCGTCTCCACCATCATGGGACGATGGTTGCAATTGAACTCGGACACTGTCTGGTATCCTTTGCTCCGGATGGCGATTATCATGTCCCTGAAAGCCATCGACTGATGGTCGCGGTCCAGCATGACGATCCTGTCGCTCTTGAGATCAAAGACGTAGACTGGAACTATCCGAGCCATGAAGTTGTTCGAGCTGCCGCTGGAACCGGCCATCTTCTCTAGCTCCGCTTGGTTCTCAGCTAGCAAGTAGTGCAGCTGCTTCGAGTCTATGTAATCGTTGACAAAGAGGCTGTAGCGATCGATGAGAACTCGTGAGGTGTAGCTCTTGGTGGAGCGGGCGAGGAGCGCCGAACACAGAGCGCATTCGTCCATATCTATCGTAAACCTCTTGAAGACGAGAGACTGGCCGTGAAAGAGCAGACCCTCCGAGGCCTCCTTCCTGAAAGTCTCCTCGATCTCCTCCCACTTTATCTGCTCCGAGTCGCCGCCATCGACATGCTTGAAGTGAAAGAAATGCACCTCCAACTCACGATCGTAGTAGACTGGAATCCTCATCGCGGGAGCCAGCAGCATCTGCGAGGCACTCCAGACGAGCGCCGCTAGATCAGCCAGCAGCGCCTTTTGAGCCGGGCTCTCGTGAAAAGCCGCCGCGTATGGATAGAGCTCGCTGCGCAGCACCAGACCCTCTCCGGAGAGAGCCGGGCCATACTCGATCGGACCGGCAGCGAGATCGATCCACACGTAGCGCTCCCGGCCCATCCAAAGATTCCCCAGGCACTTGGTGAAGGCCGAGTGGAGCTCGTCGCCATCTCCCGGCTGGTAGTCGTATCCGTACGACCGAGCCTGGCGCTTGAGGTTGAGGATGTAGATGACGTACGACGCCAGCGGCTTGGCGAGGTCCGCCCGTACCAGCTCGTCCACCACAGTGTACGGCACCGGGGCGTAGTAGACGCTCGAGAGCGACGAGGGGCGATCGACAATGCCTTGGATCGCCCGAAACATGGAATCGGCGAGATTGCTGCTGCCACTGTCCCTCACCACATCGATCTCGATCTTGGATCTCACGTTTAGCCTGTGATTGCTAGTCCCACCCGTGCCGATCACATGGACGTGCTCGTTCTTGTTGAGGATCTCCAGGTAGCGCCCCAGCTGCTGCTCCAGCTGATGCTTCTGATCGCTCGAGAACCCCACCAGCTTCACCGTCACTGGCGTTGTGGACTGGAGCGAGAGGATTGAGTGGAGCTTGTAGTCCAGGTCGTGGCGCGGGGTGGAGAGGAAGTGCTTGAGGCCGGGGCGCAGGAGCTCGAATGTGTCGTTGCCGGCCAGGGGATCCGCCTTGAATTCCTGCGCCAAGACCGTGTCGAGCCCGTAGGACGACGCGTCGGAGCCGGTGGCAGCGATCGACGCAAGCAGCAGCGCAAGAATGCCGGCGAATCCATCCATATTTCCTGTTCTTACCCGGAATCAAGCTAAAGCCCTAGACGCCGTAGCTGCCAGTTCTAGAACCCTAGAACTCGTCCGTTTTATGCGCGTTTGATCGATCAAATAAGGCTCGTCGCGCTTCTCCGTACGACCGAGCCTCTCTTCGCTCAAGACCTCACTACCGGCATGCTCCGCCGTTTGCAAGTCGTGGAAGAGTCCATCCTCTTCGTTCGCCGCCGCTGGCCAAAACCGTGACGACAAGGAATGCTTGCGGGTTATGACGAGCTCCCTCTTGCTCGGCGACCGCTGCCTCGCTGGGGATCCATCACGGCCGAACCACCAGGAGTTTGCGTTGCCTTACACCGAAACCGTTTAGCGCTCAAGTCGTTGCTTCCACGGGCATCTTGAGGTCGCCCATACGCGACCTGAATCCCACTAGCGATGTGTTTCACCTGGTGGTGGGCAATCCCGTCACCCAAGAGTGGACGGAACTGTCACCGCTCCATTGGAAGGACAGAGAAACATGCGGTTTTGTGGGAGCGCTCGGCTGTGCCATGTTTGTCTACAAGAAGTCGGCCTGTACCACCACTGGTGCATCTACGACTCGGCAACACGCTCGTAGTCTTCTCTCCCCAAGCTCCCGTTCTCGCCAGCCTACGTCAAGACGAGGAAGCAGCGGAATATATAGCTTACGAACAAAGCTTTCCTCCTCGAGTTGTATTTCCAGACTTGGACGGCTACTTCTACGATCTCACCATCCTGGGATTTTACGACTTCGGGCGCGCCAGGTGGATCACCGGGTGTCCGTCCGCAGCCTGAAGATCAAGGTTGAACAAGGTGGAGAGAGCCTGCGCTGCGTTTTGCCGCGCCAGGGTGACAAGGGTGACTTAGTTACAGTCTCCACAGGGCTTCATAACGCCATACTTGAGGAAGTGTACCCTGGGCAGCCGGATTTCGGACACATTTTTTGTTGCAATACCTCTGGAACCTCGCCACCTTTTCGGAGTCAAGTGTCCGTTTGCAACTTCAGCACAGGGCAGTGGGGTGGAGTGGGTGGAAACCAGATGAGTTAGCTAAGGGTCTTTATCGGCCGTCGATCAGGACACTTTAGTTTTAAGCGCAGCACCCAAAACCTTTCTTTGTAAATCCAGATACATGTTCAGAATTCGAGTACGATTAAATGCGATTGGACCTGGAACTGTGTGATTCTCGCCTTTCCTACAAACCATCCATTGTTGGATGTCCAGAGGCTGCTGAACGCTGAGAAAATGGAGAGTGGATACACCACAAGTTATATAGTTCCAGTTGGTAAAGTATGAAACACTACTTCTTACTCTGACTGTGAAATTCTTTTTTCACAAACTTCCACTATCTCGTGTAGATCTCGAATGACGTAACTTCAATTGTAACTTCAATCTTCAAGTAGTCCCATTGAAGAATCTAAAGAGACGAAAGATCTTGACGGTGCCAAGCGGGGTGCTTGCCAGCGCCTACCACAAGGTGCGATACATCTCCAATCTTCTCATGGTGGGAGCGCGGACAAGGAAACATCTTAGGCGTGAGAGATTAACAAGGGAGATGCTCGCCGCGCTTGCTGCCGAGAAGGGGAAATTGTTCGAAGTAGAGGAGCTTTTCTACGAGAGAATACCAGTGAAGGATGTGTTCTCCTGGAATACGCTGCGCAATGCCTACACAACAAATGGGCGGTTTGAGAAGGCCAAGGCAGCATACTAGAAGGATATACCCAGAGAGGGGATATGGTTCAAGCCAGGAAATTCCACAGCATGCAGGAAAGGAGCGTTGTATCGTGAAATTTGAGTTGAGGGGCTGTGCAAGAAGAGCGGCGAGATCTGTGGGGGATTACTTCCCCTCACTTTGGGGTGCTTTGCTTGTGCAGTAGAAGAGCAACATAGTATGGCGTCTCTTCATAAAAAAATGTCAAAGGTTTAAGGAATATCCCATTCTTGATTCTTACCTTTCTTCCTTTTGCAGCACTATAAGGCGCAGCACGTTTAGGCATTCCTCGGGATGAAGCAGGCCAAGCAGACGCCGGTATCGGTTTTGGATGACATTTTGGAGTTGGTTCTCAGCTTTGTGGACCTGGCCTCACTGCCGGCATGCTCCGCCGTTTGCAAGTCATGGAAGTCCATCCTCGGCAATCCCTCTTTCCGCCGCCGCTGGTGCCAAAACAGTGGCGACAAGGAATCCTTGCGGGTTATGACTAGCTCCTTCTGCAGCCGTTGCCTCGCCTGGGATCCATCACAGCCGAACCACGAGGAGTTGGCGTTGCCCTACTCACCACAACCCTTTCCTCATACGGTAGTCGTTGCTTCCGCGGGTGGCCTGGTATGCATCTTGAGGTCGCCCAAACCCGACCTGGATCCCACTAGCGATTTGTTTCACCTGGTGGTGGGCAATCCCGTCACCCAAGAGTGGATGGAACTGTCACCGCTCCATTGGAAGGACAGAGAAAGACACACTCATGTGGGAGCGCTCGACTTTGCCATGTTTGTCTACAATAATGGCTTCAAAGTCGGCCTGTACTACACCGCCCCCAACACCTCCGGCCACTGGTGCTGCATCTACGACTCGGCAACACACTCGTGGTCTTCTCTCCCCAAGCTCCCGTTCTCCCCATCCTACGTCAAGGCGAGGAAGCAGCGGAATATAGCTTACGAACAAAGCTTTCCTCCTCGAGCTGTATTTCCAGACTTGGACGACTACTTCTATGACCTCACCATCCTGGGATTGTACGACTTCGGCCGCGCCAGGTGGTGCACCGGTGCGGCCGTCCGCAGCCTGAGGATCACAACGGGCCACGAAGACAAGGTTGAAGAAGGTGGAGAGAGTCTGTGCTGCGTTTTGCCGCTCCCAGGTACATGCACGACGAGGCTGTGGGAGCACAATGGCCAGCGCTACTTTGCAAGCGGTTGGATCTATGCGGGAGGTGACCGGGAGGAAGGGGACTGCGGAGTTGATGGCTATGGCGTGTGGAAAGTCGATGAGAATGGTGGCTTGGTTCCAGTCTCTGCAGTTCTCCATGACGCAATACTTGAAGAAGTGTATCCTGGGCGGCGGAATCTTGGATACATTTTCCGTTGCAATACCGCTGCAGAGGGGAACCTCGTCACTTTTTCGGAGACAGGGATCGTGTTTGTTTACTACTTGAGCACAGGGCAGTGGGGTGGAGTGGACCGGAACCCAGATGATTTTGCCAAGGCAGTGCTTTATCGGCCGTCGCTTAGGACACTTAAGTCTAAGCAACACGAGTTGGAGCGATTAGAGTGAATTCATGCAACTTTACACACATTGTACAAATGTAAACATGTAAATTCAATTTATTTTAATAGTATGATGCCTTTTGTCTTTCTTTCACGAATGAGCTTTGCATGAGAAGAAGAAAAAGACCTACCACACAGGCATCAGAGAGCCAAGTTGAAATCGAAGTGAGACATGGCCGATGTTGCCTTGTTGAGCTTGTAGAGTAGTAAGTTCCATCTCTGGTTCATCTCCGTCCCCTGCCTGCTCTTGAGCACAGCCTTCTCGCCTCCCAGTCCCTTCAACGTTTCCAGCATCTCAATGGCTCCCCACACCGTCGTGTTGAGCATCGTGTGCAGGACGTTGCGAGGAGCAGCGTCTCTCTGCGCGAATGACAGCGACGAGAGCTTCGAAAACGGACCGAACGGCGTGTTCCCCAGGCTCCAAGTGTAGTCTAGAAACGTCGAGTTGTGCTCGCTGCTCCAGGTGAGGTACGTTGGTGTCACGCCCCACAGAGTTTGAAGCAGCGACGCGACCAGTGGACGCTCGAGCCTTCTCGTCTCCACCATCATGGGACGATGGTTGAACTCGGACACTGTCTGGTATCCTTTGCTCCGGATCGCGATTATCATGTCCCTGAAAGCCATCGACTGATGGTCGCGGTCCAGCATGACGATCCTGTCGCTCTTGAGATCAAAGACGTAGACTGGAACTATACGAGCCATGAAGTTGTTCGAGCTGCCTCTGGAACCAGCCATGTTCTCTAGCTCCGCTTGGTTCTCAGCTAGCAAGTAGTGCAGCTGCTTCGAGTCTATGTAATCGTTGACAAAGAGGCTGTAGCGATCGATGAGAACTCGTGAGGTGTAGCTCTTAGTGGACCGGGAGAGGAGCGCCGAACACAGAGCGCATTCGTCCATATCTATCGTAAACCTCTTGAAGACGAGAGACTGGCCGTGAAAGAGCAGATCTGGTGCTGCGCAGCGAGCTAGAGAAGATGGCTCCGTTTTGCCGCGCCAGGGTGACAAAGGTGACTTAGTTACAGTCTCCGCAGGGCTTCATAACGCCATACTTGAGGAAGTGTACCCCGGACACATTTTTTGTTGCAATACCGCTGGAACCTCGCCACCTTTTCGGAATCAGCAGTGGGGTGGAGTGGGTGGAAACCAAATGAGTTAGCTAAGGGAGTCTTTATCGGCCGTCGATCAGGACACTTTAGTTTTAAGCGCAGCACCCAAAACCTTTCTTTGTAAATCCAGATACATGTTCAGAATTCGAGTACGATTAAATGCGATTGGACCTGGAACTGTGTGATTCTCGCCTTTCCTCCAAACCATCCATTGTTGGATGTCCAGAGGCTGCTGAACGCTGAGAAAATGGAGAGTGGATACACCGCAAGTTATATAGTCCCAGTTGGTAAAGTATGAAACACTACTTCTTACTCTGACTGTGAAATTCTTTTTCACAAACTTCCACTATCTCGTGTAGATCTCGAATGACGTAACTTCAATTGTAACTTCAATCTTCAAGTAGTCCCATTGAAGAATCTAAAGAGACGAAAGATCTTGACGGTGCCAAGCGGGGTGCTTGCCAGCGCCTACCACAAGGTGCGATACATCTCCAATCTTCTCATGGTGGGAGCGCGGACAAGGAAACATCTTAGGCGTGAGAGATTAACAAGGGAGATGCTCGCCGCGCTTGCTGCCAAGAAGGGGAAATTGTTCGAAGTAGAGGAGCTTTTCTACGAGAGAATACCAGTGAAGGATGTGTTCTCCTGGAATACGCTGCGCAGTGCCTACACAACAAATGGGCGGTTTGAGAAGGCCAAGGCAGCATACTAGAAGGATATAGGGATATGGTTCAAGCCAGGAAATTCCACAGCATGCAGGAAAGGAGCGTTGTATCGTGAAATTTGAGTTGAGGCGCTGTGCAAGAAGAGCGGCGAGATCTGTGGGGGATTACTTCCCCTCACTTTGCGGTGCTTTGCTTGTGCAGTAGAAGAGCAATAGTATGGCGTCTCTTCATAAAAAATGAGGTTTTTGTCAAAGGTTTAAGGAATATCCCATTCTTGATTCTCACGTTTCTTCCCTTTGCAGCACTATAAGGCGCAGCACTTTTAGGCATTCCTCGGGATGAAGCAGGCCAAGCAGACGCCTGTATCGGTTCTGCTCGCTCAAGATGATATTTTGGAGTTGGTTCTCAGCTTTGTGGACCTGGCCTCACTACCGGCATGCTCCGTCGTTTGCAAGTCATGGAAGTCCATCCTCGGCAATCCATCCTTTCGCCGCCGGTGGTGCCAAAACAGTGGCGACAAGGAATCCTTGCGGGTTATGACTAGCTCCTTCTGCAGCCACCGTTGCCTCGCCTGGGATCCATCACAGCCGAACCACGAGGAGTTGGCGTTGCCCTACTCACCACAACCCTTTCCTCATACGGTAGTCGTTGCTTCCGCGGGTGGCCTGGTATGCATCTTGAGCTCGCCCAAACCCGACCTGGATCCCACTAGCGATTTGTTTCACCTGGTGGTGGGCAATCCGGTCACCCAAGAGTGGATGGAACTGTCACCGCTCCATTGGAAGGACAGAGAAAGACACACTGATGTGGGAGCGCTCGACTTTGCCATGTTTGTCTACAATAATGGCTTCAAAGTCGGCCTGTACTACACCGCCCCCAACACCTCGGGCCACTGGTGCTGCATCTACGACTCGGCAACACGCGCGTGGTCTTCTCTCCCCAAGCTCCCGTTCTCCCGATCCTACGTCAAGGCGAGGAAGCAGCGGAATATAGCTTACGAACAAAGCTTTCCTCCTCGAGCTGTATTTCCAGACTTGGACGACTACTTCTATGACCTCACCATCCTGGGATTGTACGACTTCGGCCGCGCCAGGTGGTGCACCGGTGCGGCCGTCCGCAGCCTGAGGATCACAACGGGCCACGAAGACAAGGTTGAACAAGGTGGAGAGAGTCTGCGCTGCGTTTTGCCGCTCCCAGGTACATGCACGACGAGGCTGTGGGAGCACAATGGCCAGCGCTACTTTGCAAGCGGTTGGATGTATGCGGGAGGTGACCGGGAGGAAGGGGACTGCGGAGTTGATGGCTATGGCGTGTGGAAAGTCGATGAGAATGGTGGCTTGGTTCCAGTCTCTGCAGTTCTCCATGACGCAATACTTGAAGAAGTGTATCCTGGGCGGCGGAATCTTGGATACATTTTCCGTTGCAATACCGCTGCAGAGGGGAACCTCGTCACTTTTTCGGAGACAGGGATCGTGTTTGTTTACTACTTGAGCACAGGGCAGTGGGGTGGAGTGGACCGGAACCCAGATGATTTTGCCAAGGCAGTGCTTTATCGGCCGTCGCTTAGGACACTTAAGTCTAAGCAACACGAGTTGGAGCGATTAGAGTGAATTCATGCAACTTTACACACATTGTACAAATGTAAACATGTAAATTCAATTTATTTTAATAGTATGATGCCTTTTGTCTTTCTTTCACGAATGAGCTTTGCATGAGAAGAAGAAAAAGACCTACCACACAGGCATCAGAGAGCCAAGTTGAAATCGAAGTGAGACATGGCCGATGTTGCCTTGTTGAGCTTGTAGAGTAGTAAGTTCCATCTCTGGTTCATCTCCGTCCCCTGCCTGCTCTTGAGCACAGCCTTCTCGCCTCCCAGTCCCTTCAACGTTTCCAGCATCTCAATGGCTCCCCACACCGTCGTGTTGAGCATCGTGTGCAGGACGTTGCGAGGAGCAGCGTCTCTCTGCGCGAATGACAGCGACGAGAGCTTCGAAAACGGACCGAACGGCGTGTTCCCCAGGCTCCAAGTGTAGTCTAGAAACGTCGAGTTGTGCTCGCTGCTCCAGGTGAGGTACGTTGGTGTCACGCCCCACAGAGTTTGAAGCAGCGACGCGACCAGTGGACGCTCGAGCCTTCTCGTCTCCACCATCATGGGACGATGGTTGCAATTGAACTCGGACACTGTCTGGTATCCTTTGCTCCGGATCGCGATTATCATGTCCCTGAAAGCCATCGACTGATGGTCGCGGTCCAGCATGACGATCCTGTCGCTCTTGAGATCAAAGACGTAGACTGGAACTATACGAGCCATGAAGTTGTTCGAGCTGCCTCTGGAACCAGCCATGTTCTCTAGCTCCGCTTGGTTCTCAGCTAGCAAGTAGTGCAGCTGCTTCGAGTCTATGTAATCGTTGACAAAGAGGCTGTAGCGATCGATGAGAACTCGTGAGGTGTAGCTCTTAGTGGACCGGGAGAGGAGCGCCGAACACAGAGCGCATTCGTCCATATCTATCGTAAACCTCTTGAAGACGAGAGACTGGCCGTGAAAGAGCAGATCTGGTGCTGCGCAGCGAGCTAGAGAAGATGGCTCCGTTTTGCCGCGCCAGGGTGACAAAGGTGACTTAGTTACAGTCTCCGCAGGGCTTCATAACGCCATACTTGAGGAAGTGTACCCCGGACACATTTTTTGTTGCAATACCGCTGGAACCTCGCCACCTTTTCGGAATCAGCAGTGGGGTGGAGTGGGTGGAAACCAAATGAGTTAGCTAAGGGAGTCTTTATCGGCCGTCGATCAGGACACTTTAGTTTTAAGCGCAGCACCCAAAACCTTTCTTTGTAAATCCAGATACATGTTCAGAATTCGAGTACGATTAAATGCGATTGGACCTGGAACTGTGTGATTCTCGCCTTTCCTACAAACCATCCATTGTTGGATGTCCAGAGGCTGCTGAACGCTGAGAAAATGGAGAGTGGATACACCGCAAGTTATATAGTTCCAGTTGGTAAAGTATGAAACACTACTTCTTACTCTGACTGTGAAATTCTTTTTCACAAACTTCCACTATCTCGTGTAGATCTCGAATGACGTAACTTCAATTGTAACTTCAATCTTCAAGTAGTCCCATTGAAGAATCTAAAGAGACGAAAGATCTTGACGGTGCCAAGCGGGGTGCTTGCCAGCGCCTACCACAAGGTGCGATACATCTCCAATCTTCTCATGGTGGGAGCGCGGACAAGGAAACATCTTAGGCGTGAGAGATTAACAAGGGAGATGCTCGCCGCGCTTGCTGCCGAGAAGGGGAAATTGTTCGAAGTAGAGGAGCTTTTCTACGAGAGAATACCAGTGAAGGATGTGTTCTCCTGGAATACGCTGCGCAATGCCTACACAACAAATGGGCGGTTTGAGAAGGCCAAGGCAGCATACTAGAAGGATATACCCAGAGAGGGGATATGGTTCAAGCCAGGAAATTCCACAGCATGCAGGAAAGGAGCGTTGTATCGTGAAATTTGAGTTGAGGCGCTGTGCAAGAAGAGCGGCGAGATCTGTGGGGGATTACTTCCCCTCACTTTGGGGTGCTTTGCTTGTGCAGTAGAAGTATGGCGTCTCTTCATAAAAAAATGAGGTTTTTGTCAAAGGTTTAAGGAATATCCCATTCTTGATTCTTACCTTTCTTCCTTTTGCAGCACTATAAGGCGCAGCACGTTTAGGCATTCCTCGGGATGAAGCAGGCCAAGCAGACGCCGGTATCGGTTTTGCTCGCTCAAGATGACATTTTGGAGTTGGTTCTCAGCTTTGTGGACCTGGCCTCACTGCCGGCATGCTCCGCCGTTTGCAAGTCATGGAAGTCCATCCTCGGCAATCCCTCTTTCCGCCGCCGCTGGTGCCAAAACAGTGGCGACAAGGAATCCTTGCGGGTTATGACTAGCTCCTTCTGCAGCCGTTGCCTCGCCTGGGATCCATCACAGCCGAACCACGAGGAGTTGGCGTTGCCCTACTCACCACAACCCTTTCCTCATACGGTAGTCGTTGCTTCCGCGGGTGGCCTGGTATGCATCTTGAGCTCGCCCAAACCCGACCTGGATCCCACTAGCGATTTGTTTCACCTGGTGGTGGGCAATCCGGTCACCCAAGAGTGGATGGAACTGTCACCGCTCCATTGGAAGGACAGAGAAAGACACACTGATGTGGGAGCGCTCGACTTTGCCATGTTTGTCTACAATAATGGCTTCAAAGTCGGCCTGTACTACACCGCCCCCAACACCTCGGGCCACTGGTGCTGCATCTACGACTCGGCAACACGCGCGTGGTCTTCTCTCCCCAAGCTCCCGTTCTCCCGATCCTACGTCAAGGCGAGGAAGCAGCGGAATATAGCTTACGAACAAAGCTTTCCTCCTCGAGCTGTATTTCCAGACTTGGACGACTACTTCTATGACCTCACCATCCTGGGATTGTACGACTTCGGCCGCGCCAGGTGGTGCACCGGTGCGGCCGTCCGCAGCCTGAGGATCACAACGGGCCACGAAGACAAGGTTGAAGAAGGTGGAGAGAGTCTGCGCTGCGTTTTGCCGCTCCCAGGTACATGCACGACGAGGCTGTGGGAGCACAATGGCCAGCGCTACTTTGCAAGCGGTTGGATGTATGCGGGAGGTGACCGGGAGGAAGGGGACTGCGGAGTTGATGGCTATGGCGTGTGGAAAGTCGATGAGAATGGTGGCTTGGTTCCAGTCTCTGCAGTTCTCCATGACGCAATACTTGAAGAAGTGTATCCTGGGCGGCGGAATCTTGGATACATTTTCCGTTGCAATACCGCTGCAGAGGGGAACCTCGTCACTTTTTCGGAGACAGGGATCGTGTTTGTTTACTACTTGAGCACAGGGCAGTGGGGTGGAGTGGACCGGAACCCAGATGATTTTGCCAAGGCAGTGCTTTATCGGCCGTCGCTTAGGACACTTAAGTCTAAGCAACACGAGTTGGAGCGATTAGAGTGAATTCATGCAACTTTACACACATTGTACAAATGTAAACATGTAAATTCAATTTATTTTAATAGTATGATGCCTTTTGTCTTTCTTTCACGAATGAGCTTTGCATGAGAAGAAGAAAAAGACCTACCACACAGGCATCAGAGAGCCAAGTTGAAATCGAAGTGAGACATGGCCGATGTTGCCTTGTTGAGCTTGTAGAGTAGTAAGTTCCATCTCTGGTTCATCTCCGTCCCCTGCCTGCTCTTGAGCACAGCCTTCTCGCCTCCCAGTCCCTTCAACGTTTCCAGCATCTCAATGGCTCCCCACACCGTCGTGTTGAGCATCGTGTGCAGGACGTTGCGAGGAGCAGCGTCTCTCTGCGCGAATGACAGCGACGAGAGCTTCGAAAACGGACCGAACGGCGTGTTCCCCAGGCTCCAAGTGTAGTCTAGAAACGTCGAGTTGTGCTCGCTGCTCCAGGTGAGGTACGTTGGTGTCACGCCCCACAGAGTTTGAAGCAGCGACGCGACCAGTGGACGCTCGAGCCTTCTCGTCTCCACCATCATGGGACGATGGTTGCAATTGAACTCGGACACTGTCTGGTATCCTTTGCTCCGGATCGCGATTATCATGTCCCTGAAAGCCATCGACTGATGGTCGCGGTCCAGCATGACGATCCTGTCGCTCTTGAGATCAAAGACGTAGACTGGAACTATACGAGCCATGAAGTTGTTCGAGCTGCCTCTGGAACCAGCCATGTTCTCTAGCTCCGCTTGGTTCTCAGCTAGCAAGTAGTGCAGCTGCTTCGAGTCTATGTAATCGTTGACAAAGAGGCTGTAGCGATCGATGAGAACTCGTGAGGTGTAGCTCTTAGTGGACCGGGAGAGGAGCGCCGAACACAGAGCGCATTCGTCCATATCTATCGTAAACCTCTTGAAGACGAGAGACTGGCCGTGAAAGAGCAGATCTGGTGCTGCGCAGCGAGCTAGAGAAGATGGCTCCGTTTTGCCGCGCCAGGGTGACAAAGGTGACTTAGTTACAGTCTCCGCAGGGCTTCATAACGCCATACTTGAGGAAGTGTACCCCGGACACATTTTTTGTTGCAATACCGCTGGAACCTCGCCACCTTTTCGGAATCAGCAGTGGGGTGGAGTGGGTGGAAACCAAATGAGTTAGCTAAGGGAGTCTTTATCGGCCGTCGATCAGGACACTTTAGTTTTAAGCGCAGCACCCAAAACCTTTCTTTGTAAATCCAGATACATGTTCAGAATTCGAGTACGATTAAATGCGATTGGACCTGGAACTGTGTGATTCTCGCCTTTCCTACAAACCATCCATTGTTGGATGTCCAGAGGCTGCTGAACGCTGAGAAAATGGAGAGTGGATACACCGCAAGTTATATAGTTCCAGTTGGTAAAGTATGAAACACTACTTCTTACTCTGACTGTGAAATTCTTTTTTCACAAACTTCCACTATCTCGTGTAGATCTCGAATGACGTAACTTCAATTGTAACTTCAATCTTCAAGTAGTCCCATTGAAGAATCTAAAGAGACGAAAGATCTTGACGGTGCCAAGCGGGGTGCTTGCCAGCGCCTACCACAAGGTGCGATACATCTCCAATCTTCTCATGGTGGGAGCGCGGACAAGGAAACATCTTAGGCGTGAGAGATTAACAAGGGAGATGCTCGCCGCGCTTGCTGCCGAGAAGGGGAAATTGTTCGAAGTAGAGGAGCTTTTCTACGAGAGAATACCAGTGAAGGATGTGTTCTCCTGGAATACGCTGCGCAATGCCTACACAACAAATGGGCGGTTTGAGAAGGCCAAGGCAGCATACTAGAAGGATATACCCAGAGAGGGGATATGGTTCAAGCCAGGAAATTCCACAGCATGCAGGAAAGGAGCGTTGTATCGTGAAATTTGAGTTGAGGCGCTGTGCAAGAAGAGCGGCGAGATCTGTGGGGGATTACTTCCCCTCACTTTGCGGTGCTTTGCTTGTGCAGTAGAAGTATGGCGTCTCTTCATAAAAAAATGAGGTTTTTGTCAAAGGTTTAAGGAATATCCCATTCTTGATTCTTACCTTTCTTCCTTTTGCAGCACTATAAGGCGCAGCACGTTTAGGCATTCCTCGGGATGAAGCAGGCCAAGCAGACGCCGGTATCGGTTTTGCTCGCTCAAGATGACATTTTGGAGTTGGTTCTCAGCTTTGTGGACCTGGCCTCACTGCCGGCATGCTCCGCCGTTTGCAAGTCATGGAAGTCCATCCTCGGCAATCCCTCTTTCCGCCGCCGCTGGTGCCAAAACAGTGGCGACAAGGAATCCTTGCGGGTTATGACTAGCTCCTTCTGCAGCCGTTGCCTCGCCTGGGATCCATCACAGCCGAACCACGAGGAGTTGGCGTTGCCCTACTCACCACAACCCTTTCCTCATACGGTAGTCGTTGCTTCCGCGGGTGGCCTGGTATGCATCTTGAGCTCGCCCAAACCCGACCTGGATCCCACTAGCGATTTGTTTCACCTGGTGGTGGGCAATCCGGTCACCCAAGAGTGGATGGAACTGTCACCGCTCCATTGGAAGGACAGAGAAAGACACACTGATGTGGGAGCGCTCGACTTTGCCATGTTTGTCTACAATAATGGCTTCAAAGTCGGCCTGTACTACACCGCCCCCAACACCTCGGGCCACTGGTGCTGCATCTACGACTCGGCAACACGCGCGTGGTCTTCTCTCCCCAAGCTCCCGTTCTCCCGATCCTACGTCAAGGCGAGGGAGCAGCGGAATATAGCTTATGAACAAAGCCCTCCTCCTCGAGCTGTATTTCCAGACTTGGACGACTACTTCTATGACCTCACCATCCTGGGATTTTACGACTTCGGCCGCGCCAGGTGGAGCACCGGTGCGGCCGTCCGCAGCCTGAGGATCACAACGGGCCACGAAGACAAGGTTGGAGAAGGTGGAGAGAGTCTTCGCTGCGTTTTGCCGCGCCCGGGTACGTGCACGACGAGGCTGTGGGATCACAATGGCCAGCGCTACTTTGCAAGCGGTTGGATGTATGCGGGAGGCGACCGGGAGGAAGGGGACTGCGGAGTTGATGGCTATGGCGTGTGGAAAGTCGATGAGAATGGTGGCTTGGTTCCAGTCTCTGCAGTTCTCCATGACGCAATACTTGAAGAAGTGTATCCTGGGCGGCGGAATCTTGGATACATTTTCCGTTGCAAGACCGCTGCAGAGGGGAACCTCGTCACTTTTTCGGAGACAGGGATCGTGTTTGTTTACTACTTGAGCACAGGGGAGTGGACCGAAACCCAGAGGATTTAGCCAAGGCAGTGCTTTATCGGCCGTCGCTTAGGGCACTTTAGTTTTTAAACAACACGAGTTACTCAACTTTACATCAATGTTACTTCTAAAAGCCCTATAGAACCCTAGAATGGCGACGATGCTCAAGGTCCGTGATCTCCGCCCCTCGGTGGGAAACAACATCAACACGACCTTCATCATCCTGGAGAAGTACAACGCCTCGCGCAGCGACGGCGGCATTCTCATGTGCATCGCGCTCGTCGCCGATTCCACCGCCAGCGTCCACCTCCAGATGTGGGGCGCCGAGTGCGACGCCTTCCAGCCCAGCGACATCGTCCGCCTCACCAACGGCATCTTCTCCTTTCACAAGGCCAATCTGGTGCTCCGCGCCGGGAAGAAGGGCCTGCTCGAGAAGATTGGCGAGTTCTCCATGGTCTTCGTGGAGATTCCAAACATGAGCACCATGCAATGGGTCCAAGACCCCGCCAATCCCAAAGGCTGGATTCCTCTCACTCACTCTTCGCCGGCGCCCACCGGACCGATGCTCGCTGGTGCCGCTTCCTCAAATCCGGGAAGACACTAGATAGAACTTTAGATGCTAGAACCAAAGAAAAAAGGTAGAAGAAAAAAGAAAGAACAAGGTGTTCTCTGGATCGAGACGAAGAATTAAATGTAGCTCAAGTCTGGACTGACCTCTATTGCATCCACTTCTTCAATCATCTGCACGACTTGGATCATCTTGGGCCTCTCCTCGGCTGCTCGAGTTACGCAGGCCATGGCGACTTTGAGCAGCCCGACCATCTGTTCTTGCTTGGAAACCTCGATGGCGTTGTCAAACACTGCCGACGTCCACTCGTCGTTCACGGTTGCTATCACCCAGCTGGGAAGATCCATCTTCGATGAGTTCCCAGCCTGGTCTCCACCGCTAGCTGCTTCTTCCGCCGGGAGCTTTCCAGTGAGCAGCTCTAGCAGGATGACTCCGAAGCTGAAGACGTCTGCCTTTCTTGATATGTCCGAGGCAGTCTGGCACTCGGGAGCTCTGTAGCCGTTCTTCTCCAGCGCTTGATCGCTAGGAACGAAGGGTAACAGGCCAAAGTCGGAAACTCGAGCCTCGTACCTCTCGGTGAGAAGAACGTTGGACGACTTGATGTTGCCATGCGGGAGCTTGCACTGGTGGTGCAGGAACTTTAAACATCTTGCAACGCCTAGAGAGATCTTGAGGCGTTTGGACCACGAAAGCCTGGACGGAGTTCCCGGACTGTTACCTGGTAGAAATGTCACTTGGCTTTAGAAAGAAACTTGCGAGATTCACTTACCATGCAAGACGTTGTGCAAGCTTCCCTTTGGCATGTAGTCGTATACCAGCAGCTTCTCGATCCTGGCATAAAAATAAAAAGCTCTCAGCCGCAGGAGATTCGTATGCGTCATTCGGCCGACAATTCCCATTCTCCTCTCGAACACCTTCTTGCTGCATCCCGTCCGGTCCACTAGCCTCTTCACTGCTACGAAGCCTCCAGTACAGAGGGCTTTGTAAGTGCTCCCGAGGCTTCCCTTGCCAAGCAGCTCTGCGGAAGCTTGGAGGAGGTCCGCGAGCTGAAACTTGCCAGCATCCCTTGTGACAAAGACAATGTCGCCGGATGCCATCTCTTTCTTCTCGGTTCCTGTTGTTGCTGTGTCGGACTTATCAACGTCTTTGGACGATGCACGGAGGTATCTGTAGCCGAAAAATAAGGCCGAAAAAATGAGGACAAACGCACCGATGACCGCAACGGCAATGATGACAATAATCTGCTGAGAAGGTTTCTGCGTCCTGGACTTTGGAGGACAAGGAGCGAAGCTCGGGGGTCCACAGAGAGCTGAGTTCCCAAAGTACGCTGTCGGATATCTACTTGCCATAGCGCTGGGAACAGGACCGCTCAAGTTGTTCCAGGAAACATTGAAGTCTGTCAAGTTTGGTATGTTGGACACGTCGGGAACTCCGCCAGTCAGGGAATTCATCTCTAGACGCAATGTGAGCAGCTTCCGCAAACCACCTATCGCTGCTGGGATAGATCCACTCAGATGATTGTTGGAGACGTCCACCCTGTCGAGATCTTGCAGCGTGAGAAGAGCTTCCGGAATCGATCCTTCAAGTCGATTGGAGTTGAGATACAGCTTCTGTAATCTCCTACACCTGGATAAGTCCGATGGAATTCTGCCCGTCAAGTTATTTCCCTTCAAGCTTAGAACTTTCAACTCCGTCAACTGGCCTAAACCGTTCTCTAAAACACCTGGAAACCTGCGGTTCTCAAGCCTGAGTTTAACTACGCGATTATCTGAGTTGCAGATTACACCATCCCAGTTGTCAGTACAGGGATTATTGCCCGTCCAACTCGATCCGAGAGTCTGCTTCAAATCTGCCTTCTCTTTAAAACTCAAAAGAGCCTCCCTATCCGAGTCTAGATCAGAGCATCCCATAGAGACCAGAAGGAACACTACCACCGCTATTAACTCTTCGTTTAGGCCCATCCTCTTCCGCCTCTACCAGGCCAAACCTCCTCCGACCAGGTCTAGCAGATAAAGAAGCCTTGATTAATGCTTCATTGCCTTGGGCGCTCCATGGACGTGGTTGGCACCAGGGATAGCGACTAAATTTGCAGCTGGACATAGGAAGCTGGACATAAGAAGTATCACTTGGTTTGCCAGGAATCTGTAGAACAAAGTAGGATTAAACGCGTCAAAATAAAAGCATAAGTGATCACCTGAACAAAGCAATTCTTTGAGCTCAATCTGCAAGCCCCTGACCTGCAATGGAAGAGAAGGAAAGCACGTCAAAAACCGAGAAAACATAACGGAGACTAAAAACGCTAAGCGGAAGCCAGAAGAAAAGAAAGGGATACCATCTAGCTTCAGACACTCATTCCCTCGGATGGTAAAACCGTTGCTGAGAAAAATAGACTGCAAGAACTACACCGGTCACCAGAAAACCAGCGGCGACAGCAACCTTGAACCAGTCCGGAATTGTGTCCGGAAGTTCATATCGACTACTATGCTCCTGCCAATACTTGAGCAACTTGATAGATAAACGTACCTTTTCACTGATGCTGTCAAAGCCGTTCGGAAAGAGTTCATCCTCCGGTCGTGTCAATTCAGCAACCTCCTTCTCGACCTCTGGGGGTGATTGTTCCCGGATCTGGCTAAAGCTCATCTTTCGTAACGCGTCAGCAACCACAAGCTGGGGGAGACTCGGCTTCATCTTGTCACATTCCTGTTGATCGATAGACCCTGTAAAAGTTCCTAAGCGCCTGTGGCAGCTCTCATACGCCCCCATCACTGTCTCCATCTGTGAACTAAATACTGTTATTTCTGTCTCACTGTCTTTAAACGAAAGCTGGCTCGGCAGCGATGCGTCCTGGACCTGGTGCTTCATCAGCTCACTAGTCTCGTCGCTCTTCTTTTCCGCCAGAGGGGAGCTGCCAATGGCTTTTTCCTCGTGCCAACAGTGAGGAACAGTGTCCCAAGAGTCCGAGAAGGACGCATCACTGTCGACGTCTAGCCGAGAGTAAATCTTGCTAGCACGTAAATGGTGCCATCTTTCCAAAAGGTCCTGTTGCAGGAACCCAGAACAGAGACTGCTGTCCCCAGAAGATCCGTCACAAGTGCCGCTGATATCTGTAGTCGACTCACTGTCTGGATCGTCAGATATCCATTCCAGTGAAGCTCGTCCCGGCCTTGGTACTTTCTTCTCCTTGTGCAAAATGGTAGCAACCTTTGGTAAGGCTTCGACTGTCAAGAGCGCTCGGGGCTTCGACTTGCGGCGGTCTTTCACGTCTCCCTTGACAGTGGGTCCGATTCCAAAACATCCATCCAAGTCGCGAGAGGCTTTCTTCCGGAGAATATCGGGGGAACAAGACGGCTGTGCTGGAGGAGCGATGTGATTCCCAGCAGTGCCGCTCGACCTGGGAGGAGAAACCTGGACTGGATCTGGCTGCTTCGCTGCTGCTGCGATCACCCGAGATTGAGCAACGGTAGCCTCGAGCCACTTGAGACACGGCGCCACATCCACGGCAGTGGCCGCATTGTCAGCTCCTGATCTGGGAGATTTTTTGCAAGGCTTGCGCTCTCCGAGAGGACGGCGGAGGAGATTCGAGGAGCAGTGCCGAAGCTGGAGATTAGTACCTGGAGGACGCCGATTCTCCTTTGCGGGCTCGCCGTGCCGACGCATCTTCTTCAGCTCCAAAAACCCTAGCGCTTGGTCTGACTCCAAAATCTAGAGCTTGGAGGGAAAAATACAAACCTCACGGAAGATGCGTTGCTCACGGAAGATGCCGAAGACCACCGGAATATCCCCCTCAAGAACAAGCTTGCAAGTTGGAGAGGAGAATGTAGGACGACGCCCACTGCCCGCCCTTTTGGAGCGCTCTCTCCGCCACTCTCTCCGCCGCATCGACGCCCCCATGGCTCTTGCAAGCGCCCAACAACGCCGTCCACGCGATTCCATCCGGCGCCACTGGCATTCTCTCCACGAATTCCTCGGCGCTCTCGAGAATTCCGGCTCGGCTGAGCAGATCGATCATGCAAGCGTAGTGCTCGGCCGCGGGTGCGATTCCATAGCTCTCACTCATCGCCGTGAAGTGATGCGTCCCCAGCTCCACGAGCCCCATATGGCTGCAAGCGCTGAGCGCCGCGATGTAGGTCACGGCCGTCGGGATTGTTCCATCTTGCTCCATCGCATGGAGTAGATCCAGCGCCTCCCTCACAAATCCGGCCTGGGAGTAGCAAGAGATCATCGTGTTCCACAGCCCGGAGCTCCGCCTGGCACCCCCGCGATCGAATAGCCGCCTTGCTTCTTGGAGATTTCCACACTTGCCATACATCCCGACCAGCGAATTCGCGACCGTGGAGCTGGAATCGTAGCCAGCAGCGTCAATCTCAGCGTGGAGGAACCGGCCGCGAGCTAGATCCGATGCAGCGCCACACGAATCGATCGCCACCAAGAAGGCCATCTCGTCGGGCTTGATTCCATCAAGATCCATGAGCAAGAAATATTTCATCGCCGATCGAGCGTCGCCGCTCTGGAGGAAGCCGGTGACGATCGCGCTCCAGGAGATCACGTCCCTGGCAGGAATCGCCAAGAACAGCGCCAGCGCCTCGTCCATCACAGCGTTGAGGCACAATCCCGTGAGCATCGCGTTGCAAGCCGAGGTGTTCTTCGCTGGAAGATCGCGGAAGACGGCCAGGGCAGATTGGATCCGGCCGCCTTGGCAGTAGCCGATGATCAATCCAATCCACGACGAAATGCTCCACTTCGGCATCCTCGCGAAGGAATCCTCGGCGCCTTCCACGCTCGCGCTGTGACCATAGGCGGAGACGAGTGTGTTCCAAGAGATGAGATTCCTTTGCGGCATCGCCAGGAAGAGCGCTATGGCGGAGGACATATCGCCGGTGTAAGCGTAGCCAAGCATCGCGGCGGTGGAGGAGACGATGTCGTGCTGCGGCATCTTGCCAAGAACAGCTCTCGCGAGCTCGGGCTCGGCGTTCTTGGCGTGCGCGGTGATCAAAGAATTCCAAGAAACGATGTTTCTTTCTCCCATCCTCTCGAAGAGATTCTTGGCGCCGATGTGGTCTCGATTCTGTGCGAATGCCGCGATCATCACATTGCACGCTGCTAGATCTGGAGCAGCCAGCTCCTCGAATGCCGTTCTAGCCCGCGAGAGATTTCCCTCGCTAGCGTGTGCCATGACGAGGATGCTAGAGATCGCGGCGCTCTTGAATCCAAATCGATCTTTCATGCTCGTCGCGAGATCCAAGTGGCCCTGCGTCGCGAGCGCGTGGATTACGAGCGTCCAGGAAGCCTCGCTCCATCCCGGCATCCGATCGAAGAGGTTCTTGGCCGCGAATGAATGCCCGCTATGGGCAAATGCTGCGATCATCGCGTTCCAGGAGATCTCATCCAGCTCCGGCATCCAGTGGAAGATCGCGGCCGATTTTTCTGGCGATCCGATGCGCGAGTAGGCCGTGAGAATCGAATTGAACGACACGAGTCCCCACTGTGGCATTCGATCGAAGACTTCCCTGGCAAGAACAATATCCCCATTCTTGACATATGCCCCCAAGAGGATGTTCCAGGAGAATGTGTTGGATCTCTGGATCCGCGAGAAGGCCAGATGCGCCTCATCCATGGATCCACAGCTGGAATACATCTGGATGAGGAGATTTCCAAGGAGAGTGTCCTGATCCTGGCGAGAGGCGACGATGTGAGCGTGAAGACGCTTGCCCTCCCGGAGAGATTTGCAAGCGATGCACTGGCGGAGGAGATTGGCGTAGGCCGCGCGCTCGATGTGGAAGGCGTCGCCGAATCGATCGACATTGTAGACAAACTCGGCCAAGCTTCTCATGCCATTGCCGCCATTGCCGAGCAAACCTAGGGCATGGCGGCCGCGATTGTGGACTCCAGCGTCGGCGATTTGGATGGCGTGCTCGAGGCCGCCGAGAAGCAAGGCGGTGGCGCCGTGCTGCTGCTCTTCCTGGGGGATCGAATCCCTTCCATCGGCCAGAGCTGGTGCCCAGGTGAGCAATCTAGACAAGTAACCTCTCCCTTTGATCTTCTCTTTCTTTTTTCCTGCTAGATTGCGTGAGAGCTGAGCCAGTGATCTACAAAGAAGTGGAGAGCGCTGGGCACAAAGTCACGCTTGTGAGAGTGAATGTGGGCGACAAGCCGACTTGGCGGGACCCTGCTCATCCTTTGAGGATCGATCCACGCTTTCGGCTCACGGGCGTTCCCACGCTGATCCGCTGGAGCTCTGGCACAATTCTCGATCGCCTGGAAGATCACGAGGCTCATCTCGCGGACAAAGTTCGCAGGCTTGTCAACACCCCCAACAAGATCGTCAATCCTTGAATGTTTAGAAAGTTAGACAACATCAACTATATCTACCTCTCTTTTTACCATCTATTGTCCCTCCACAAGTCTCTAGTTTAACATTTCACAAGCGCTTCCTCCGGAACACTCCCGGTAGTGGCGCGCGTGAGAGAAGCCAAGCTTGGTCAGTGCGGCTTCAACATCCCGCTCATCTGGAAAAGAGAACTGTTCAAACTCTCTGCTTGACCGATCGAGGCTTACGTACCAGTGGAACCAATCTTGCAGCCGATCAATCTAAGATGCCTGGCTGCGTTCTCCGCACGCCTATCGAATGTTGAGCTGATAACAGGCCACACTCCTCGCATTTCCCTGTGGAAACAACATTCGCTCGTTTTGCTACGCCAAGTAGAACTCGTTTGACAGGTACCTAAGGAACAAGCGTATGCTGCTCTGGCTCAGTCCGAACAAGCCACTTAGCTGCCTGTTTAGTTCGGAGGGGTCGCTGATAGTCTTGAACGAGCATACGGCACCAGCGTGTTCAGTTTTCAGCTGTAGTGCCAGCCTTTGCAGTCGAGCAGCAGTTCTGCAACATTCAAAGAAAGGGAAGTTTGTCCAGACGAAACCCAGACCCCGGAACGCACCTCTCTGGGTAGCTCGTGTAGCCGGCCCTCTCTAGCACCTTGGCGTTCTCTTCCAGGTCAGCCTTGAGAACATCGGTGAGCTTTGTGATCCCTGAAGTAACGATGTTCTGATGACAAAGACGTTAACGGAAACTCAAGAAAGATCGGATTTTTACCATAGTACCTTGAACGTGTCGCTGCAAACATCTAGCGCCGTGCTGCGGTTGAACAAGGCCACAGCAAGAAACCACTTTTCGACTTCGTCGTCTCCTTTGTCTACATCGATACCAAGGGCCTTGGATGTTCTCCCACCGAACTTGTTCACCAGTTTCGAAAAGACCTGTACAAAAACGAAAATAGTCAGTCACACAACTGCCAAGAGAATTCTTAAGAGAGAGAGAAAAGTAGAAAGGATAAGCGTACCTCTTTGGCCTTCTCATCATCGAGGAAGCCGCCGTCCTCACTCCTAGCATGCTGGTCGCTGCTTTCAAGCGTTGAAGTATCCTCTGTCTCCGTGTCCTCGTTCATGGACGACAAATTCTCGATGTTCACCCTCGACGCGAACTTCTCGCGACCGTCAGGAGTAGCAACGCCGTTCACATTGTGGCCGAGAGTTTGCTGAGGCAACTGTTGGCTCTTCTTGGCGTGACTGCTATCGTCAGGCTTGTGAGAGAGCCTGGCTTCCCGAGCATTCCTAATAACCCGCATCTTTTTCCTCCTCTGGAACTCTGCATTTTATCACAAGAACTCTTGGGTCAACATTTTGAACAAACCAAACAAGAAAAGATCAAGCACCTTTCCTTAAGGCAGACTCAGCCGAAGTCGCAGTTACTGCTGGAGAGAGAAGCGCCCCATACATATAAGAGTCCGCCGTCAAGAATTTCCAAAGCCCCTGGAGTCCAGCCGACTTGAGGGTCTTCTTGAGACATTTTCTTCCCCTCTCCTTGAACCTGCCGCCACTGCCTTCACCTGTCTTCACCATCGCTACTCTAAAATCCCCGACTCCACAAATAACCCAGCCTAAACTTCGCAACGGTGCCAACAAGCGATCTTGGTGAAAACGTGGCACTCCCCACAACTGCCACGTAAACAAACACGCGTCATCACCACCTCGAGGTACCCAGGCATGCCAACTTACAAGAGCTCCTCTCAGATGAGAGCGAAGACGAGATCTTCTGCGCTGACGATGGAGTCCATGGGCGGATTCGTGAAGACGTATGGACACGGACTGCCATGCGTTCCCTTTGCTCGGTAGAGACCCAAGGCGAGCATGCCTCTCTCTGCCAGGAGCTCCGAGAACATATCACCGTAGGAACGATTCACGTACTTTTGTGGAGCTTCGAACTGCTCCAAAACCCGAGCATGCTTGCTGTCGTCAACGCTGCCCTCCACAAGCTGCTCTACGATTGAGCTGGTATTCTTGTTGTAGAACGAGGAGCGCCTGCGAGTAAACACACTCAATATCAAAAAAAGTAAAAAACGAATAGAAGACTTATGTGCTTACATGAGAAAGCTGAGCATGCTTGGGGAGACGGCTCGTCCTTCCATGTATGCGGGTGCAAAGTGAGCAACAGCGTCAGGGTTGCGTTTGTAAGCGTCCGCAGGTATAGAGCAACTTGGGATCTGGCTATACGGCCACAGGTAGTGCAAGCCAATCGCATGCTGCATCTCAATCACGACTTTGGTGAGGTCACCGTGAAGCAAGCGCTCGATGTTGGCCAGAATTATAATGCCGTCTACGTCACTGGTGTAAGCCCCTGGATTCTTCCGGGTATCAGCAGTTTGCTGAACACCTTTCCCACTGGCATCAATCGGAGATCCAGGATACGCAAGAACAATGACTTTGTCTAAATCATAGCAATCAAAGGTTAAAAAAACTTCATAGAAAAACCTTGAAAAACATACCTGCATGAATGACTCCAGCACGCATTAAATCAAGCTCGTGAATCGGCGAGCCCTTCACGAAAAATACGTCTTTGAAAACGCCGACTGATCCCCACTGATAGAAATCCGGTTGGGATGGATGTAGAATCACCACCGGATGATTCGGAAACGTTGGCTTTCGGAGCTCGAGTAGAAAGTAAAACAGATTGGCTGGCCATTTGCCTTGACAGCAAACCAGTATGTGTGCCTTCTTCAAGCTAACGATTGCGATGCTCCTTCTTTGGAGGTCTTGCAAAATTTTCTGCTCGTTCCTTTCGAGCAAAACAGCGTGCGGTCGACCATAAATGTCTGCTGAAGGCCATGCAAGCGTCCAGTCCATGGACGCTTCCAATGCTGCAGATGGTTCTCCTTCCAAGTAATTACTGGTCAATGCGTCGATCTCCGTAGAGTCGCTGAAGCCATTGCCGCTGAGCAATGCAGCGTGATTCTTTTCGACAGCGTCTCTGAGACTAACGATCAGCTTGTGATGTCCCACAGGACTCGAAGGCACGGGAACCGGTTGGCTGCCATCTAAATATGAGTCTATACCAGGTATCTCCTGTCTTTTAAAAGAGGCCACTGAACCCAGCTTCTTCCACCGGGAGCTCACAGACTCCAAGAGCTTACGCTCGCGACTTTGAGGATTTGAGCAAGTCCCTTCGAACTTAGATATGCTGTAGACGGTATTGAGGCTCGTTGCCATCACAAGACCAATGTCATTTGAGGAGATACTATGTCCTTTTGGGTGCAGCAAAACCGTTCCACTTGTGTCTAACGCAAAGAGTGTTATATTGAACGAAGAGTATATAAATTCCGTAACCTGCATACAAAAACAACATGATTCAGTATAAGGATGGAAAAAGAAAAATACTTGCCTCTTCAAAAAGCAGACCGTGAAAAGCGCTTGGAAAAATCAATGGATACACTTCGTTGTCAAAACTGTGATTATACTCAACTATGTGACGCATCGAAGGTATATTATGTAGCTGAATTTCGGACGTAAACAAATTTGTAATAAAAGTATAGAGACCCTTGATCGTACAACTGCAACCAAGAAAGAACGATATAGTCGAATTGACACATAAAAAATGTGAATTGAACTGGACCTGCGAGCTAGTAGCTTGTTATGCAGCTTTGTCTGGCAAATAACCTCAATCCCCTGCCCATAAGCATTATCCCAAACGCTACATCTCAGAGCATCAGGGTCTAGTACTTCAACAACTATCCGAACTCGACCTTTGCAATAACGGCTTACAGCCAAAGCTCTAAAAATTTGAGTATGATCTTCTGTTCTTGGATCCTGCAAAGCCACTTGAGATAGCAATTTTGTTACCGAATATAAAATCAGATTACCAATGTCTCCTTGTCCGCCAAAAGGAAAAAAGCTGACGCCTTGTCTGCGCTAATACGATCCAGGTCTGATGTCTGTGACGGGCACCCTTCGTAGAACTCCACTTGATTATTGTAAAGGGACAGCAACTGCTGCAACTCGAATCTACAAAAATGGAACAGCTAAGTATGACAAGTTTGAAAACGTAGCTCTTACGATGGAGTAAATGGCGCGAGAATAATAACGTGCATAGGATAGATTTCTAGATCTGAGAATCATCCGAGCTGTAAGTCCGAATATTAACAGCTGCGCGACTAAAGCATTCTCTCACCTTCAGCATGGGTAGGATTATAAAGTTCTGCAAGAAAAATCTGAATCACGCGCAGCTCTATGCTGCCGCCTATAATCAGAAATCGTGACCCGAGCACCTTTCTTGAGTTGAAAGTACCACCGTAAGGTCTGGGACGGGATGCCCCGTAAGAAAGAAGAGAAGATAAAACACAAACATTGTACCTATTGTATGCAAGAGTACTGATCCTGCTCACTTGTATGGGAAGAATGGCTACGGCAATCATAATTGTGATGATGATAGCAGCCTGGCCTTGAATTGTTACGGGAACAACATCTCCGTATCCAACAGTCGCAATCTATTAAAAAGAAAGACGTTTCTTGCTTGAAGTTCAAAACAAGCGTGCAACATACCGTAACAATGACGAAATAGAATGCGTCCCAGAAAGACATGCACCCTTCTAGGGGACACATCCGTTTGGTTTTTTCAGAAGCACCATGATACTCCAGCCATTGAATAATACCAGCAACAAGAACGACTGTATAGAAACAGATTAAGTATCAATAAATTCAAGTTGATTTAAAACCTGCGCCAGCAGTGGAGAAGATTAATAGAATAATCTGTTGGGTTAACGTGCTTCCAGCCATTCCTAGCTTCGTAATGCAAGATGATATTCTGTAACAACCGAAAAAGTTATCGAACTGCCATAATTACCAATCGCATAAGAGTACCTTACAATGCGAAGAAACTGAAGCAAGTTATAAACATCACCGCCGGCTTTGCGATACCTGAGTTGATTCACAATCATAGTTCATCCGTTGAAAAACATCTCAAACAGTTTACCTGAAAACGTTGAAAATGGGAATAGCGCTCAAAAGATCCACTAGACCCGACAAGGAGAAAATGTAGAAAAGCCGAGCAGGCTCACTGCACTGGCAGCAACATCAGCAAAAACACACTTTTAAGTTTGGAAACGAGCTTGTGGGTTTACCTGTAAATTCTCAAAACATAGTCGGCAAGGAAAGCAACACTGATGGCATTTTGTAAGTGTGTGACCCAAGAACCAGCAGTCCCGTAGCTATTGACACGAAAAATTTAGCATGAACTCCAATGCCATCTACGTTCATCAACCTGTGCATTGTTTGTTCAATCTACACTGCTTTACGTACGTCGAGTAGACATAGAGAACACCGGAGAGAACCGCAAGAATGAACTCCGTCTGTGCAAAACACGCAAAATATGAAAAGAAACTGAGAAATCCTCAAGCAATTGATTCACAACCATACCAGATATAAAATATAGCCAAGAGCACCGCCCCGGAGAAAGATCCTCAGCCTCACCGAGCGAGGCACGCTCCCAAAGAGAAACGAATCGTGATACGTCTCGAGCACACTTGCCTTGACATTGATGTGCTTGAGGTTGTGCTGCCACGCCGATGACGAGAATGTCTTGGTCAGCGTCTCCAAAATGCTGGATCGCCTGCGATCGCTGCCGCTTAGGATGCCGAAATTCGTTGCCGGCGGCTGCTGATCCACGGCATTCCCCGCCTCGGCATCCAGCGGCGCCATCGAACGAGCGAGCGAAATAAAAATTCTAGGGCTCCAAGAACATAAGTAACTTCACGCTGGAAGAGACTCGAACCCAAAACGTCTTTGTTCTTCCTCACGTTCTTAGAAAAGAGAATAGAAAAAACAAGAATGAGAGAGGCCTCTGTTGTGTTTTCCTTTCCTTCCTTTCTTCTTCCTTGTGGCATGGCACCTCCTAAAAAGAAACCGGTCCGAGGAGTCGTGAATTAGTTTGATGGTGCTACTAATACAGAGAGGGGTGGAAGTTGTCGTCGTGAATTTTTCTCGTTGCTTCGTCGTCTCGTCCGTGAGAAAAGCTCGCTATGACGTCAAGAATCTGAAAACATCCCGCAAAGAAATAATGCCTTCGACATGTCGGCTGCCAGCTTCAACGCAAATCACTCGCCGGACGCCTGAGAAACAGCGAGACAATGCTTAGAGAAGAAAAACGAAAGCAAAAACTGGAAGAATGATCCACTTCACCTGGCGTTGCGAGCCGCTCAATCACGTCTCGGAGCGTGTGTGAGCGTAGGCACATATGACACCGAGTCCCAACGGATGATCCTCCGGTCCTGTTGTTATCCTGGCCCATTTGCAAAGCCTGGACGAAATCAAAACGTGTGAAGTGGAGCGAAAGCTGAGAAACACTCTTACTTGTCCGACTGTTATCTCGTGAAGATGCACAGTTGCATACGCTCTGTCTCTTGCTAACGACGTAATGTCGCTGTTCGATCATGTCACAAACAAAAAACGTAAATCCCCACACCACCATCGCTGCAAAGGCATACCTTCTAGTGTAGACGTCAATAAGTGAACCATTGTCGTCAAGTATTGGTAGCGCGCTCACATTGGCTGCCAAAGTTTCCAGCAACTATTTTAAGGCAAAGACGACTCTTTTTTTCCGATTTACCTTGCAGGAGAAGCGAAAACGCGGCGCTGAGAGGTGCGCTCGCCCGGAGCATTGCCAAAGGTCGGCAATTTGCACCGCCGACCTCGGGACTCCATGTTCCCAGTGGCAGTGCATACAAAGGCTGCAGCAGGAGAGGCAGCCACGAAGGAACATGCCGGAAATGCCTCAGCATACCTGCATATAACAGCAAGCATTCAAGTCAGCAAAATCTTATCGGATTGAAAAAAAACGCTGCCATCGTACATTTTAGAATGTCTGAGAGCGTCGCGAGATGTAACACCTGTGGGACGAATCCATCCTGTGCTACGTGAGTTAGCACTGGGAGCGTTGCGACCTCGTTCATCAGTAGCTTGTCCGTGAGTTGTCTCAAGGAATCATCAGGGCCAACCTGGAAAACGGATTGCGAAATAGATCAGAAGTCCGTCAAAACTACTCAAGGCATATCAGCTTACAGAAATAAGGTGTCTTTGTCGACGAACTCTGAAGAAAGTGGACTTCTCGTCTTTCCACACAGCGATGGTATGAGTATCAAGCTCCTCCTCGGATAGCATAGATCCTAAGTTTCCAAGCTGTCTTAAAATGATAATGAAGTCAGATGCGCTAAGCATGCCAACGAATTGCTGCCTTTCAGAATCCCATAAAGGAGCTACGGTCAAACCCTGCACAGACATAAAAACGATCAGACTTTTAAGATTAAACAGTGTATCATACCTGCTCATAAAGAATATGAAACGCTTGTTTTACAGGCAGCATGACGTCCAAGACAATCACCTGACAACCAAAGAAGAAAAGGAGTGAGTTGAATGCACAGAGATTAACCATCAGAGTAAAGCCACCTTGCCGGACTCAGGAATTAATTCGTAGGCAGTATGATTGAGCAAAAATTCCGCAAGCCTCTGCTTGGAGGTTTCAACCTCACCAGCGGAGATGGCTTGCGGTCGTGGCTGCTGATGGCCATCTTGCAAATCTATCTGAAACACAAAAGTAGAGAAGAGTAACATGTTAGAACCAAATCTACAAACACAAACTTGCGTTCTTTTTACCATGTGGTGGCCGGAGTTTTGATCAACGTCCATGTTCGATCCCGACGTTCCACCGTCCCCGTTTGGGGACGATGCAAGCTCTGGAATCTTCACAGTAACACAGTTATTTACATTTCCGTGCAGATCGTGTGCCACGGGCCCTTGATGATCCCATCTCCACTGTCCATCCACAATAAACTTGTACTGGAATCGAAACACGAGAGATCCATCAAAAACAAAGGAGAGACGAAGCAGCACGATCTACCTCATGATAGCCAACAGGCAAGTTGAAGGTCCCTTGGAACACGGTTGGACAGTTCTCGAGAGGAGTCATTGGTAGCGTTGTGAGCCAGCTGCAAAAACAAAGAATTCATCAGGAATGCTCATCACCCCGAGAAGCAGTGCTGCTCAATCCCGAGAACACGAAAGGAAAAGAAAGGAAAAAAATCACACCTTGTGAAGGATCCGCAGAGAAGGACCTGTGCGCCCCCATGAGGCCAGATGAAGGTCGTGGGTACCAGCGCCAAGTTCCTGCTTTTACATGCAATACCCTCCCGGGACATTTGTCACAATGCTCTCCTCTCTGCGACGGCCGCCTCGCGCTAAACCCCCGAATGCCAAGCTTCCATCCCCCTTGTAACCGAAACATAAATCCTCGTCGTCGCGAAATCGCAGCTCCCCAAGCACACCACTGTCGCTGGCGCTGCTCAATGGCCGTGGATCCGCAGCCAGCTAGGTCTTGATGATTTTACCAGCCGGGGACGATCCATACCTGGAGCCGCCGTCGCCATCGCCATCGCCAAAAACCCTAGTTCTCTCCGAGCTACACCATCACTGGGGGGGAGCTCTTTCGCCTTACTACCTAGTAGTAAGAGTGTGTGTGTGTGTGTGTGTGTGTAGCACTTTTTTTACGTCTTCTGTATGCGTGGTAAACTCTTCCCTGCAAAATTTTTTAACCATGGAGGTAAAAAACAAAAAATTCCGAGCGTCATCTTGCCCCCTCTCTCCGGGCATTCCAATAATTACGTTATTAGAGGGGGGGATCCTCGCATCTGGGCCGCACGCTCGCCTCTCCATCTCCGTACAACTCCCACGAAGAAATGGATCATCTTTCGGAAGAACAGTTCTTCCGCTCTCTCTTTTTCTCGCCTTCTTTGCTTAAAGGAAGAATCTCCTGCGACTCGTGTCCATGTCTGGCTGGAAACATGAAAAAGAAAGGAAAAAAAAAAAAAAACCATTTAGTACCTCGTCAGTTACTCATTCGTGATGAATTAATAAAGAGCAATCTCCTGTTGTTCAGGAATATAAATTCGATCACTCACCTTGTGTACCCATTCGTACTCGCCATGCTTTGTATCAAAGGTGCCGTGCTGCAAGCTTAGCAACTTGAGTGTGAAGCGTGGGCCACATTCCTGCGTAAAAACAAAAGACTGTGAGACAACACAGCCCACGACAAAAAAAGCAAACATTTTCGCAAGGAGGGCCGCGGACTGTGCACCCCACTCACCTGGAGCCGAGCAATCACAGCAGTTTTCTTCTTTTGCTCTCCCTTCTGCTTCGTCTCCTTCGGCTCGAACACGTACCTGGAAAAATGCACGCGCAACTTGGCCTTTTATACAGACGCAAGGAGATAAATTAATGGTCGCACCTGTGATGCCGGAAAAATATGTAGTCGCGCTGGTTGTGAAAAGTGACTACACGGCGGCCGCGAAAGTTGGGATCTTGATAGAACAAGGATGCGAACATCCTGCCACAGAAACAAACACATTAGTAAACAGCATAAACACAAAGGCAAATCTAGGAAGAGAAGTGTCAAACAAATATAAACACCACCTTCCAATTCGATGGCCCAGGCTGGTTGTGAAGTTGTTAAGAATAAGCTCTGGGAGATGACTCGTTGGCCGTCCATGATTCTGTCAGGTCACACACTACACTGAATCAATCAATCCAAACACTTACAATGGAAAAAGAAGGGGAGTCAGATTCACGTGCCTTAATCTCCTTTCTTAGTACAAGATTCGAGAGCCTGAAATGGGCCGTAGGTCCTTCGGGTAAATTAACAATCACCATTCCATCTGAAAAGTCGAGCGAAACAATAAATAAATCCACGAAGTAAAGCAGAAAATGACTGAAATTTTGATACCGGGCTCTCTGCGGTTCTCATGAATCACAACTATCGCTGTAAAGTCTTGTTCAGTAGCATCCTTCACAAGCTGTACAGCGGAGAGTCAGGGAGATGAAATACAAACATAACTTCACACCTGTTTAAGGCTGCGTTTATTCCGCTTGTAGTACTCCGTGTTTGGAATGACACTTTGGAGCTCCAATATCAGCTTGAAAGTTCTCTGGAAAAAAAAAAACAAAAAAAGAATCGCAACCTCAAGTTAAAACAGCAATGCGTGTAGAGTTTTCGATGTTTACCTTTGAGCACTTCCTGCAAGTTGTTATCAGGAGCTTCGGAGATTTGTCCCGGTTAAAATGCTCCGCGAATTCATCCGTCGCGATGTCCGCAAGCAGCTACACAAGAAGAATATCAGGACTAACACAAAAAGAAAGGAGTGAGTTTTTCCACCTCATCGTCATCGGGTCGGACAATCGTCTCATCCGGTTCGCGAGTATTCTCAATCGTTCGTGGCGTTTTTCTCGGAGGAGGCTGCCAAGAAAACAATTCAGAGAGATTCCCCAGAGATTAATCTTACTTACAGCTTCTCCGAGCTCAATGCATTCCTTTTCCCGCGCATCCCGAGCCTTGATTCGCAGCTTCTTCGCCTTCTTCTTCTCGCGCTTGAGCTGCGCGAACGCCTCCGATCGGCGCTCCTTGTTCCTGATCAGGGACGGCTTCTTGCCCTCGCCATCGTCTTCCCTCAGCCGCTTCGTCCCCATTGCGAGATAACCTAGATTAGGGTTTATTGCGAGCTAGGGCTCATGGCTATGGCGGTGGCGACGATGGCGGAGGAAGCTGGAGCGCGGCGCGAGGAAGCGCCGGAGGAGACCATCGAAGACGACGACGGGTACGTAGAGTATGTCCCGGTGAAGAAGCGCCGGTTGCTCGAGCAGCAGAAGCTCCTCCAGAGAAAGGGCCAGAATTCGTCGCTGGTGGAGGACGGTAGGGGCGCGGCGGAATCCAAGCCCAGCCTGCTCGTCAAGGCATCGCAATTGAAGAAGGACCAGCCGGAGATCAGCGCCACGGAGCAGCTAGTGCGGCAGGAGAAGGACATGATCGATCGTCTCTCCGAGAGGAAGACGCTCATGTCCGTGAGGGAGCTCGCCAAGGGGATCACTTACACAAATCCAATGCAGACCGACTGGAGGCCACCCTCTCACGTCCGGCACATGAGCGAGGCCGAGTGTGATGAGATTCGCAAGCAGTGGCACATTCTTGTGGAAGGCGAAGAGATCCCTCCTCCGATCAAGAACTTCAAGGACATGAGATTTCCCGACCCCATTCTTCGCAAGCTCAAAGAGAAGTCCATCACCCGGCCGACACCAATCCAGGTACAGGGGCTTCCAGTGATCCTCTCGGGCAGGGATATGATTGGCATAGCGTTCACGGGCTCCGGTAAGACGCTTGTGTTCGTTTTGCCGCTCATAATGCTCGCACTGCAGGAAGAACAGAGCTCTAGTCTAGGTGGTGGTGAGGGTCCTTTCGGGCTGGTTGTGTGCCCGTCTAGAGAGCTGGCCAGGCAGACCTTCGACGTGGTACAGGAGTTTACGAACGTTCTGCGTGAGAAGAACTATCCAGAGCTGAGATCGATGCTGTGCATCGGGGGGATTGATATGAGGTCTCAGCTGGAAGTGGTGAAGAAGGGAGTTCACATCGTGGTGGCGACTCCCGGCCGGCTCAAGGACATGCTAGCGAAGAAGAAGATGAACCTCGACCGGTGCAAGTATCTCACGCTCGACGAGGCGGATCGGCTCATCGACTTGGGATTCGAGGAGGACATCCGGGAGGTGTTCGACCACTTCAAGGCGCAGCGCCAGACGCTGCTCTTCTCCGCCACCATGCCGAAGAAGATCCAGAACTTTGCCAAGAGCGCGCTGGTGAAGCCGGTGGTGGTGAACGTCGGGAGGGCCGGGGCGGCCAATCTGGACGTGATACAGGAGGTGGAGTACGTGAAGCAGGAGGCCAAGATCGTCTACTTGCTCGAGTGCTTGCAGAAGACCCCGCCGCCAGTGCTCATCTTCTGCGAGAACAAGTCGGACGTGGACGACATCCACGAGTACTTACTGGTGAAAGGAGTTGGAGCAGTGGCGATTCACGGTGGCAAGGATCAGGAGGAGCGAGAGTACGCGATCGCCTCGTTCAAGCAGGGAAAAAAGGACGTGCTGGTCGCCACGGACATCGCCTCCAAAGGACTCGACTTTCCAGACATCCAGCACGTAATCAACTACGACATGCCAGCGGAGATCGAGAACTACGTGCACAGGATTGGACGAACTGGGAGGTGCGGCAAGACAGGCATTGCGACGTCGTTCATCAACAAGAACCAGAGCGAGACCATTCTTCTCGACTTGAAGCATCTGCTCAAGGAGGCGCGGCAGAGGATTCCTCCGGTTCTGGCGACACTGGACGATCCCATGGACAACGTCGAGGAGGTGGCTAGAGCTAGTGGAGTGAAAGGGTGCGCCTACTGTGGTGGCCTGGGACACCGTATTGGAGAGTGCCCGAAGCTCGAGCACCAGAAGAGCCAGGCCATCGCCGGGACGAGACGCGATTACTTTGGTTCTGGTGGATATGGTGGAGAGATCTAGAGCTGAAAAGCTTGCGAGGAACGAGGAAAAGAATTGGTGAGCTTGTGTTATTTTGACAGTGTTGATTCTTCAAGTTCTGTGGCACTCTTTTCTTACCACCCCGTTCGTCTCGTTCTTCACACCGACGTTTCCCAGCTTGTCCATGGAAGCCGCAAAGACTTCGTAGAAGAGATCCTGGCTGCTGGCAAATGCGTCCACGACGCTGCGAGTTCTTGCGTTTGTAAGGAGCTCCTGGTCGGAGGTGAGAAGGCCCAGACCTCTCTGCATGCTCCGGTAGTAGGAGTTGTCGAACTGGAAGGGTGTTGCTGCGTCCATGCTTGCTACCACATCGGGATTTCCATTTCGCGGAGGACAAGCTCGTCGTAGTTCGCCGAGGAAGCTCGGATTCATGCTTGGATCGCCGGCTCTGGTGCCGTTAAAGTTGTAGATCCTGTTCGTGAATTCCGTGCAGTGTGCAAAGCCGATTGTATGAGCACCTGGAAGAAGAACGAGGGATTAGCGAGCAGCTTAAAAAGCACTGAGAGAGTGCTTACCAGAGAGCGCTATCAGATCGATTTCATTGAGGCCCTTGGAAGCGAACAGCCTGGTTAATTCGTTGATAGATGCTGTGGAAGTCGGGAGATTGCGGCCGACCCGGGAAGCCATAGACAACCTTCCGTCTTTACGGCCTTTCCTGACTTCCCAGAAAGGACCGCCAACTAGCTGAACCAAATCCCTCGTGATGATAGCCAGAACATCAGCGCAAGAGACCACACCGGGACAAATCTTTTCCACTGCTGCTTTAGCTCGATGAACTGCATCAAAGGCATCTCCCGCTAATGAATGATTTATCTCCTCGTCTCTTTCAGCCTTGTTGCCAGGAGTTGACGAAACGAGGACCGAAGCATCACATCCCTGGCCTCAAAAACAAATAAGAAAACTCAAGAACCTCAGGAGAAAGGACAACTCACGTCAACGAAGCAGTCATGAAAAAGGAGTCGCAGTGTTGCTCCAGCTGTTGTTGGTGCTTCCCTTATCTTTTGAACCATCACCTGTCTGAGAATGCTCTCGGCATGCGGGCAAGTCCGCTTGTAGTAGTCCACTGTCAGCTCTGAAGTTACAAGCATGAGCAGAAGTAACACGGTTAAGCTGAAACACAGGCCAGATGAAACCATACTTCGGACATGTTTCTCTCCCTTCTTCGATTTCTTGTAAGAGGAGAAACCTCGTATGCTCGGCAGCTGGAAGACCAAGCACTGGAATGCATGGGCATGTGAAAGAAATACCAGACACATGGTAAGCATGCAATAACGGAAACTACGTTACCGCGTTGACTAGAAAAGCTTGGATGTCTGCCCAACATTGATCCTCACATCCCTGGTGTATATGTTACTTAGCCCAAATAGTAGTAACACGAAGACAACTTGCGCGCTCATGATACCGAAGTGGCTTATGCTGTTGCCAATCTCCATCCAGCTTCCCGTGTTCCGGACCTTACGAGCAACAGAAAATTGTATGCCGTCAGAAAGGCACCAACACCATCAGAAACTTACAAGGAAAAAGAAACGGATCGTCATAATGTCCGAGAGAATTAAAACCATGAAGTAACAACCAAGACGAGGTAGGCTCATGATCTTCACGACAATGCTGAATGCGCATCTGCAATCACAACCACGTCAGAACGCATAACTGAGAGTCAGCAAAAGAGCGTACGTTACAAGGATGAACGGTATGAAGAGCTTGAAAAGGAGAAGAGCTGTCATGATAAATGGCTGGAAAACCCCGTAGTTAGTCGTATCACAACCACTTCAGTAAGCAATATCCTTACATCAAAAACGGTGATGAATCTGTACACAGAGGAGATTTCGAAGCTCGCGATGCTTGCGACGTTTCCAGTTCCAAAAAACGCCACATTGATCAAAATAAGCTGCAGTTAAAACATCGTAAGTCCATGAAGGATAATGATTGTTAGGCTTACAAAACACAGCGCTACATGCACGTCGGTGAGTTTCAAAGACCTCCAGGAAACATGTCGTTCGCCTTTGGCAAATGCAGTCCATTGGATGAGCCGTTCACTGGCCGAAAACTCGTTGGTAAAGGAATTCCGTCCAAAAGACGAGAAAGTGATAGCGGACTCCACCAGAATCCAGGAGAACAATACGCTAGCCAAACCACTATAGAAAAGTGCCTCGTAGCTGAAGACGAAACACTGTTAGTGTTGCCTTAACCGTAAGGAAAAGTTTACCCGATTGAGAGAAGTAGAAATGGAGGTGCAAATCCAAGAAAAATTGCACAAACTCTGGCAATTATTGTTGGCGGAGATCTTAGAGGGAGAAGAATTGCTACCCCTGAAGACAAGTAGGTAGATTACATCCAAACAAACAAGCCGAGGAATTTGAAGTACCTGCAAGGGACCAGTTGACGACCTGGAATGTCAAAGGTAGCTGTCTCCTATGGGTTCTGTAAGAAGTCGTGACCCATACCATGAATGATGAAAAACAAACAAGAATTATCTGCAGAAAAGAGTGTCAGGAAACAACTGTTGTAGATAAGACGCTACCTGGACAACAAAAAGTACATCTCGTTCAGCGGAGCGATTTTTATCACGCACTAGTTGTCGTAGAATAGGTTCTTTGGGAACAATTTTGTCAATCCACCAAGCAGCGAATGCAAGTGCTACTACCAGGAAAGCACTTCCGACACTGTAAACATTTGCAGGTGGATCAAGAAAGAAATTCTGAAACTTACACCAGTGAAACGTGTTCAGGAATTTGTGGAGGCATCAGTGTGAATCCTGAAAGAAACCAGCAAGATGCCCAGACGAAGGCTGGGATCATTGAAAGTCCAGGAAGGTTCATGGAGATTGTTACAGCTCCTATCACACCAGCAGCAAAGAAAAAGCCTGTGTACACTTCTCTTCTGAAAAAACTTGAAACCTGCAGAAAGATCAACAAAATTTCTAAACGTAGACGAGCATTACCAAAAGCTGAACAATAACGGAAGAGAGCATGCTTGCGAATAGAATTTGGAACTTTGAAACCTTTCCTGTTCTTACTGCGATCCAAATGCGTGTAAAATCATTCGGACTGGCGAGTACACGCTGCCAGAGGAAGATTCCAGTACCGACATAGAGAAAGTATAGTATAGGCGACTTTTCGAACATCAGCACCATAAACAGCGCTGCCGACAAGGTTCCCATGGCAAAATTACCCTGAAAGGAACTGATTACAGAAATGATAACCAAAGGAAGTTTGCATACCAGAGAACTTTTCCTTTGTTTACGTTGGAACAGCGGCGAACTGGCATAATGCCTCAACAAGTGTAGGATTACGTACAGCATCCATCCTACGTAGCCAAACGTAATGGTTCCCATCAAAAACCACCAGTCGTACGTTTGAAAATAATGCAGGCCATCCAAAGATAAACTGATCAATTTCTGTGAGAAGTCCAACGCAGCCTGGTATTGCTGTAGACCAATAAGTTGTTGTATACGGCTCGTAAGTTCCTCGTAATTTTTCAGAGAGGAAAATGGCCTGAAAAAGAGCGACGTTTCCTGCTTGATATCTTATAGATCCGTTAAGGAGAGCTCCTGGACTTCACCAAAATGTCTTAGGATACGTGATTTTCGCAAGAATTGGTTGAGTAATTGCTTTGCATTCGCGAAAGCGGCCTCAGCTTCGTCAGCCTGAAAAACGATGCAAGGGTTTGACAAAGCACAAAAGCAAGCTTCATATCACCTTATTTAAAAGCAAGTAGCCTCTTGGCAGCACACCAACAGAGTTTAAAGGACATGGAAGTCCAAGAAGTACCGACTGAAAGAAACATTCAGCGTAAAAGAGTGAGAGCAGAAAAACTTGTCTTTACCATAAGCGGTGCAATGTCCCCTTGGTTGACATCAACGCGTTCGAGATTTTGAAGTCCCCAACTGTGAGGCGTCACCATGTGGTGTGTGTGCTGATCGACAAACTTAAAACCATCGTCTTCGTCGTCTTCAGGTTTTGCAGGACTGGGACCTCGGATGCCCGCACCCCAAGCAACAAGTGGTGTTTCCGTGTTTTCTGGTTCTCCATCTCCATGACTACCTAGCAAGAAAAGTCAGTATTGAACCGGCAAGAAAGCCTCGACGAGACAGACCTTTATCACTCATCCCGTGGTCGGCTGTAAAAACGTATGCAGTTCGTCCATCAGAGTACTTCTCTTCCATAAGCTTGAACACCCGTTCTATTCCGCGATCAACGACCTCCACATTGTTCAAGTATATCGGAGAATATGGACGATGTGCGTGGCCGTTGGTATCACATCCCAATAGATGCAAGAAAACAACAAGCTCTCCACTTTGTAGAGTCTCTTCGACCACAGCATCTCTTTTGGAACTATTTATCAGTTGTTCAAAACGATCAAAAACCCAAGTATCAAGGAAAGACGCATCTGCAAACAGAAAAAAACCATACATTCTTCTAGAATCGAACAAACGAGGCGAACCTGTTGCAAAATCTTCATACTCGTGCGGGTATGCGGAGAACTTTGCCTGTGGAATGTTGCCACAAAAAATGGGAACAATGTCTGGACTTCCAAAAGCGACCACTTCCTTACTCCTGTTAAAGACGGAATCGAACTCCACAGGATTTGCCTTCCATCCTGAAATCTCCAGACGTGAAGAACGTTACAAACAGTCAAAAGGTAAAAGTTACCTTTGGTTACAGCACTTGGATCTTCATACAAACCAGCGATTATAGCAACGTGCCCGGGACGAGACTCGGTTGGAGGGCGAGCATGAGACACGCCCCATTTTCCCTTCTCGTGAATCACATTGTGCAGAAAAGGAGCTCTTGGCGATCCATCCGGCTTGAGCTCGAAGAATTTGTCAGCTCGCAAGCCATCAGCTAATAGATCTTACATTTCAATCACTGAATCCGTGAAAATCTAGAAGGGGATTACCTACAAACAGCACAAGGCGCTTGGCAGGCGCTTGGATCCGAGGCGCGACGGGATCAATCCCATGAACGATCGGCGACTTGAAGTAGATGTCGAAGATGCTGAGCATGAAGAGCGCATGGACCGCCACTCCCAGGACGATGATCTTCACCTCTCGGCTCTCCATTCTCTCGGCATAAACCCTAAACCTGATTTCGAAATACTTTTTTAAAATTCGCGTACTTTTCCGTTTTGACCGGCAGTAGCCGGTGGGTCTTCTCTTCTGGACGTTATTTTCCCATTTTCTGGGACTATTTTAGCAGGGGCAATAGAGCATAAATTTTTTGTTGGATGCCTAAACAAGCACGCTAATCAGAGAGAAATTGAAAGAGTTTATCGTTGTCTCTGGCTTTCAACCGCAGGTTCTTAGTCCGTACGGAAAAGATACGAGCTCAAACAAAGCAGAGGTAAAGCGCTTGCATTTTAGAGAGTACTTCAACGTTTGTTTGCAAGGGATATAGCACAAGCAGCCATTGCTGCTCGTAACGTACATTATATGTGCGTAAGTCACTCTGATTTTCGCTTTTCCTTTTTTTCTTAGGTTCGTATTCCTTCATTTTTGTTATATTGTACAAGCTCAACGGCATCATGTAGCTGGACTTCCGACCGAGGTTCTTTCGACCTCTTTTTCGTTTACTTTTGCCAATGTGTTTAAGTCTTTGCAGGAGATTATTCAAACGGCACTGCAGCGTGCTGGACAAAATCTTGCTAGACAACAAGCTGTGCATCAGTATATGTTGCCTACTCCAGCAGCAGCAGCAGCAGCAACAGTCGCAACCATCGCAACAATCACAATTTTCACAGTTGACGAAACCCATAGCATCAGTAAACCAACCGTCACTCATCTTACACAAGCATCAAGCTCTTCGCTTGCAAAACATTCCGCAGCAACAACAGCATCCACCGGTACGCTGTCCTTTTGCATTTTGTGCTTCATGTCTCAATTGGATTTCGCTACAGGTATTCCATCCAGGGAGCATTGCACAACAGGTATATTTCTTTTTCTTTTCTCTTAAAAAAGCTTTCTCGTTCTCTTAGCCGGCGCCTACAAAGCTTGTGCAATCTTTGGATCCAACCCCAGTATTGCCTCCTGCTGTAGCAACAACATCTAACTCGACGGAGCACGTCTCGCCTGAGGGATATAAATACCATTACAACAGTATCACATCCGAAAAAGCAAGGTAATAACGTTAAGATTTAGATGTGAAGCGCATTCAAGTTTCTCTCTACAGTGGGAAAAGCCGGACGAGCTTTTGAGCGCAGAGCCACATCCGAAAAAGCTCAATGGGCTCAACGCACAAGTTGAGTACCCTAAACCGAGATGCTCGATGGCAGGAGATTGTGGACAAGATGGATGGCCGAAGTCTTAGTAGCTGCCAGCTTACTTGGAATGATCTCTGCATCATGCACCACCAGTTAAGTATTACTTAACGGTTCACCCTGCAATCAATTTCCCGGTCACGGAAGAAGAGCGTACATGGGATCTTCCGTCCCTGGCTAAGATGGATGAAGACATGTATCGAGCAATGGATGCATACCGTGGACACTCATACACCAATAGACGGGTACGTTTTCAGTGCCATTGCAAGAGTGCTCCGGAAATTATTGAGAATAGTCCCGACATTGAAAATAAGTTAAACTGTTCTTAATTATTGTTATTCTAATTTAACCCAAAACTAATGTCGAACTGGAAGGGTACCATGTTAGTTCGCCGAGGAAGCTCCGGTTCATGATGAAGTTGTAGATCACTGGCTAGTTGGCGGTCCTTTCCGGGAAGTCAGGAAAGGCCGTAAAGATGGAAGGTTTTCTGGGTCGGCCGCCATCTTCACACTTACAAAGCATCTATCAACGAATTAACCATGCTGTTTCCCTCAATGAAATCGCTGATGGCACTATCTGGTAATCCTCGCAGTGCTTTCTAAGCTCCTCGCTACATCCTTCTTTCTCCACGTGATGATAGCGAGAATATCAGCGCAGGCGCCACACCGGCTCGATGAACTGCATCAAAGGCGTCTCCGGCTAATGAGTGATTTATCTCATCGTCTCTTTCAGCCTTGTTGCCAGGAGTTGACGAAACGAGGACCGAAGCATCACATCCCTGCCCGCAAAAACAAATGAGAAAACTCAAGAACACGCCCCGTGCATCACATTGTGTAGAAAATGAGCTCCTGGGATCAGCTAATAGATCTAATATTTCAATCAATCCGTGAAAATCTAGCAGGGAAGGGAATTACCGACAAACAGCACGGCAGGCGCTTGGATCCGAGGCGCGACGGGATCAATCCCATAAACGATCGGCGACTTGAAGTAGATGTCGAAGATGCTGAGCATGAAGAGCGCATGTACCGCCACGCGAACCTTCAACTCCCAACGGAAATTCATCCGAAAACCCTAAAAGTCATAAAATTAAACGCCATAAACCCTAAACCTGATTTCGAAATACTTTTTTAAAAATCCCGTACAAGGCGGGATGTGGCGTTCGTACTTATCGGTTTTCACCGGCAGTAGCCGGTGGGAAGGTGGAGTTCCAGCTCTAGGGTTTGTACGTGTGTCGTGTGTGATTTCGTGTTCCTGGGGAGAATGCGCGGCGGAGGAGGAATGGCCGGCTGCTACATTGCATTGTGAGCGCCAAGATCGAGCAGAGCAGTAGCAGCGCCAGTGGCGGAGCAGTGGGATGGTCTCGGAGAGGAAGAAAATGCCTCATCACGGAGATCCCAGCAGCAGTTCTTGGCGCGTTGCTGGCCACAAGCGCGAGCGCGACAATTCTGGTGAGTGATTTCTGCTCTTCTTCTCGTATTGCCGCATTTCAATTCATTCGTACTATGAATCGAAATATTCTTCTTGTCCAGATTCTAGTGAAGGAGGACAACACACTTATGTGAAACTCTTTGTGGGCTCTGTTCCCAGGACAATTACTGAACAACAAGTGCGTTCTCAGTCTGCAAATTCTTGCTTTTTTTTTTTAACTCGTTTCGTTCGCTTCCCTCTGCGCATTCTTTTTCTTGTCAGGTAAGATCAATGTTCGAGGAATATGGAGAAGTTCTTGAGGTTGCGATTATAAAGGATAGGAGAACGGGGCACCAACAAGGCATGTTTTGTTGTATCTTCTCTTTTTCCCATAATCGAATCTTTGTTGGGTTTACTGTTGGCTTGCTTTCCTTCTAGGTGGTGTGTTGCGGTGGTCCAAAGCTTTGGATAGATTGTGCTGCACGGTTGGAATGTCTGGATTTATTTTTCCTGGTTCGATCGAGGACAGACTTTTTTGTTCTTTGTTTGCTTGCATTGCATCGTTAGGATCATCGTTCCGTCTTTTATTCTCTCTTTTCCATATGGTAATTTAACTCTGGCTTAGGTGAATGTTCCAGCAAGAAAACGTATGACATCATGTGAATGGATTTTTGAGTGGATATATGGATATCAGACACTACAGCACTGCCCGTCCGTTGATGATCCGCGACAAACAGATATGCTTCACCGGGAATTAGTTCATGATACTCTTCCTTGGAAACTGGTGGCAACTATCCAATCGATGGCCACTACTCGTTCTTAGTGATGACTGGATCCAAACTTGAAACTCGGAACAACTTTGGAGATGAATGCTGTGGGTTAAGTTCCCACTTACAGGGATCAACAAAAACTCTGGTTGTGACTCTGACATGGACTGGAGACCGAGGATGAATGGCTTGAGAACGAAAACCAAAATGGTGGCGGACTAGTTTTGATGGTGGATGCAATCTGTTCCGCAGTATATCCGGGCGGGCACGATGCTTGTGTTGTTGTTGTTGTTTTTTTTTTTTTTTTTTTTTGTTTCCTTTCATTCTCTGTTTTAGTTTTTTCTCGAGTATAGTCGCTAATTTGTGTTTCTGTTCTACTTTTTATGCCGTATAGGTTGTTGTTTCGTCAAGTACTCCTCGAGGGACGAAGCTGACCGAGCTATACGTTGCTTAAACAACCAGCGGACTTTACCAGGAGTAAGATTTTGGCCGTTTTTCTAGTTGATGGTTTGATTGTTTACGCTGGACAGGGAGCTTCGCCTGTACAAGTTAGATACGCAGATGGTGAAAGAGAGCGCTTAGGTGAGGACGTTTTTTATCTCTTTCATTTCTCTCAACTTCCATTTTCTTTATATTTTTTAGCAGGGGCAATAGAGCATAAATTGTTTGTAGGATGCTTAAACAAGCACGCTAGTGAGAGAGAAATTGAAGAGGTAAAATTGTTTATCGTTGTCTCTGGTGTCCTATTGATGGCTTTCAAGTGCAGGTTTTTAGTCCGTACGGAAGAGTTGACGATATATACGTCATGAGAGACGAGCACAAACAAAGCAGAGGTAAAGCGCCTGCATTGCAGGGAGTACTTCAAGTGACGTTTGTTTGCAGGTTGTGCTTTCATAAAGTACCCGTCAAGGGACATGGCACAAGCAGCCATTGCTGCTCTTAACGATGTGTACATTATGCGCGTGAGTGACTCTGATTTTCGCTTTTCCTTTTTTCTTAACTTGTTCCTTCATTTTTGTATGACAGGGTTGTGATCAGCCTTTGGCTGTGAGATTTGCTGACCCAAAACGGCCTAAAACTGGTGACTCGAGGTCTTCTTTTCTTTTACTTGATATATTTTCTGCAAGATAACCTCAACCGTGAGAGTGTTTTACAGGAACAGTTTTAGTCCCCGCCATCACGGATCCGGCTCTAACAACAGGTGATCCTTATTGAGATTACCAGCGCTACTGACATGTTTGCTCTCAGATCTAGTGGCCACAGTGGACGTGCTTCTCCAGTTAGCTGGAGGCAAGCAAATGCATTGAGTTTGCGGCAACTGCATCAAACTGGACAACCTCCATTTCCTCCAGCAGTAATTCCCTGTCTAAGCCCTTCACAAACAGTATGTTCCTGCTCTTTGGTTATTCTTTTATATTGACACGGTCAATTTCTTCCAGGCATCTCCTAACCACTCGCAAGGCCCATACATTGTACAGGCTCAACGGCATCATGCAGCTGGACTTCCGACCGAGGTTCTTTCCACCTCTTTGTTTACTTATGCCAATTTTTTTTTAAATCTTTGCAGGAGATTATCCAAACGGCATTGCAGCGTGCTGGACAAAATTTTGCTGGACAACAAGCTGTGCATCAGTATGTGCAACTACTCCAGCAGCAGCAGCAGCAGCAGCAGCAGCAGCTTCATCTCCAACCTCAGCAGTTTAATCCACAACCATCGCAACAATCACAATTTTTACAGCTGACGCAACCCCTGGCATCCATAAACCAACCGTCACTCATTTTACACAACCATCAAGCTCTTCACTTGCAAAATATTCCGCAGCAACAACAGCATCCACCGGTACGCTCTCCTTCTGCATTTTGTGCTTCATGTCTGGATTGGATTTTGTTACAGGTGTTCCAGCCAGGGAGCATTGCACAACAGGTATTTCGTGCTTCTGAATTTTTTTCTCTTAAAAATTCTTCCTTTCTCATTTTACTTAGCCGCCTTCTTGGTTGTTGTCGGCGCCTACACAGCTTGTGCAATCTTTGCTTCCAACTCCGGCATTGCCTCCTGCTGTAGTAGCGCCAGCTACATCTAACTGGACGGAACACGTCTCGCCAGATGGATATAAATACTATTACAACAGTATCACATCCGAAAGCAAGGTAACAACGTTAAGATTTAGATTTAGGCGCATTTTAATATCTCTCTACAGTGGGAAAGGCCGGACGAGCTTGAGCAACAAGTTGCTCCAACGCTGCCGCCAGCCTCTGTTGTAAGTTCTTCATTTGTTGGCTTTATCTTACAGTCCAACGCAGGACGCGAACATCCCTCAGTTCCAGCCATCAAATGCTTACTTGGAACAGCTAAGACACCAGATCTGGATATGAACTAACAGGAGCCTGATTTACAGATATACCAACTTGAGCGAAAGGTACATTTTCTTGTTTCTTTTCTCTTGCTGATCTTGAGTCCAACAGGGAGATTTATGGCCGTGCTGCTAAGCTTGGAACAAACGTGTAGCTGGCGCGAATGGTGGCCGGACAGCCTTTGGACCAGTCGAGGTTAGCATAGAATGCCAGTTCCTGTTCCGAAAGGCCCAATTCCCATTGCTCGTCGATCAGATGAAACGCAAGTGGAGGCCAAGTGCAGCTGGAGAGCACTATCACGTCGCCTGCTAGATGTGCCACCCAGTGATCACACGCCATCCTTCCCCGACTATATCCCGCACACGACCCTTGGACAAGGGGAGCCAACGTTTTTGCTCGTCGTCCTCCAGCACACTGAGTGCAACGTGAAGGTCGTCATGGATCGTTCCCACCAGGATCCTCCGGCCGCGGTACAAAAATCCCCAGATAGGCCAATTCTTGCAAGTCTCGTCATCGATCTCACGAATGCTGGGATTCTCTTCTGTGAACTCAGTCGTCCATTTGAGTGTATCCAGGTTGTAGAAACCATCGTCACCGTTACCTCGGTTGTAGCCAGGGTTGCACTCTATCAGATCACTTGTTATGACGTCCCCTGCCACCCAGCGTCCAGTGCCAGAGTTGCACTGGAGAATTTCGCCAACGTATTTTGAATCGATACGCTTGTTGTTGAGCACTGCAATTCGATAGATTCCCGTCTCAGGATCCAAATCCATTGTCTCGGTCATCTCGACCCACTCGGTACACCGGAGCACCTTCCAAGTGTTCGTAAGAGGATTGGCCACACTGAGAGACCGTGAGCAAGGACTGGTGGGACGGTGTATTACAGCAAGCGTGCCACACACTAGACCATTGGACGAGCAATGCCCTACAAAGACGGAGCTCTTTCCAGGCGGGCCAATGGGCAGAGAAATGTGCTTGAGCTTGACAGCCTCGCCGGAGAAAGGGCGCCACAGCTGTGGATTTGGATCCACGGCACACAATCAGTGTCTAGCCGCGTAAGAATTTCCATCAGCAAGTCCTCCCCGAGCCGATCGAAGATATCTTAGCCCTAGCCCTAAAAATGCAATGTTAAACCCTAAAGCGCGGGAAAATTTCTTTGTTTTAATAAACCATGATGTTTAATAATAATTGCATGTAGTAACGCTTGGTTTGCTTAATAGTAGTGTTATTCCGATTTATTAATTCAATTAATCAAATAAAATTTATAATTTATATGCATGTTTGTAATTTATAAACACAAAATTAATCTTATTGTATATAATAGAATAAAAAAGAATATATTAGAAAGGGTTTAAGAAAGTTTATAAATTATAAACATGTTTATAATTATAAATACAAAATTAATCTAAATGAATAACAACTGTTAAATGGTAGAATATCCTAAAATATCCAAGCATATTTTAGGTATATTCACTATCATCCTAGTTTTGCTTAAAAACTACTTGTAAGCTATTTATTGAAATTAAGTTACTATCCTTTCTATGAATTGACATGAAGAAATTGCTGCAAAACTCAAAAAGCCAAGCAAGAAAGGAAGATGCAACAGAGTAGAGTCATCTTCATGTTGAGTATAGCCAAGAGAAGACTAAAGGATGGAACAACTGGAGCATCATGAGACATCATGCCAAGGGACAAGTGAGAGTTAGATACTTTTATTCTGCCTAAATTTTTCAAAATCTTGCTCATACTGATCATCAGGCTGTTGTGTAATCTCCCCAAACACGACCTCTCAGAACTTGCAAGCTTAGCAATCATCTCATTTTCCTATTGTTGAAGAAAACTAAGCAAAAGAAATTACATAAAGACGCTCCAATACAAAGAAAAGAGCAGCTTGAGTCCAAAGCCAAGCTCATGATGCTGAAAGGAATGGCAAATCAACCTTTCACATCAAATTGTTTTGCTTTTTAATTGTTGATTTGTTTCCACTTTTCTTGCCTACAACTTCGGATAGCAAACAAACGACCGAAGAATCATCATCTTCCAAACCCAGACATACCGTCATAGCTTTATTGAGAAGATTAACTACAAGAAAGTGTGATTAGCAGCCATTGACATAATCCGCCTTGAACTTGCAGCCGTCATTGTAAGTCTTGATACCACACTTGGCGCAGTTGCGAGCACGGAGTTCGTTGAAGGCAGTGATCATCTCATTGCCAGTGAGGTCGCAGTTGGAGCCGGAGACAAAGAGCCCACAGTGGCCGGAGCAGACGCCTGTGGAGCCTTTGTTGCCGCCAGTGAAGTAGCGGTTGCCAGGCTGAATCTGGCGGCGAGCAGCATCACAGTCGCTCTGTGCGAGGCCCCTGCACAATGTAGAGCCAGCACACGAGTAGGAGTCCTGAGCATGAGAGCCCCGCAACAACATGAGATTCACAACAAGCAAAACATATGTGAGAGCTAGCGCCATGTTCGTCGACTTCATGGTTGCTAAGTTGCTGAGATAGATATCGAACCCCTTATTTATATGGGAAGGCACAGAAGCGTGTCTAACTTTGCTCCCAGCCTGACTTCCAACACAAACTTAGGCGGTCAAGAAGGAAGAACCCAAACTTAGGTGGTCAAGGAGAACTGCTGTATTGACACAATATTAAACCCCCCATTGTGATCGTGATCCTACCCAGAAAAACGTGTCTAGCTTTGCTCCACTGGTCACCTGTCCAGACAGTGACTGTCACGACTTAATTGTCGCAATACCAACATGATCCCGCATTAATATTATATATCCATGTGTGAGGTCCACATCTATTATTAACATTACTATAATAGTAAAATAAATTAAATTGGGTGCCACATGGCATGATCTGGCTCATCCAGAAAACATGTGGCAGCTTTGGTAATATAGCTACCACCACTATTCTTTTATGCATGTGTACTAGTGACCCAAGTTACAAGTTGTGTCCAACATCAACCATAGTGCATATCAAGTGTTTGTGTGGGCAACATTCTCTTCACACCACTAAGTTGTGCTGCAGTTACAATAACGTTTTGCTCCCGGTTCATAAGGATTTGCCTTGCAGTTACGATCTCGAGCCCATTATTTATATGGTGTGGGCGGGCACAGAAGCGGGTCTATAGCTTTGCTCCCAGCAAGACTTCCAAAACTTAGGCGGTCAAGGAGGAACCCATTTATAATTGCATGGCCCTGCCCAGAGAAGCGTGTCTAACCTTGCTTTACAGGTCACAACTTGTTTAGACGGCGACTTGTTCGCATAGATGGACACGTAGAAGAAAGATCCCGCCATGTATATAGAAGGCTTCAGCTGTATTTTATTGAAAGTCCATTTTTCTTTGTTAAACTTTGCTCTTTGGTTGTTAACATATATCAAGCTTGATCGACATGGCCCAATTGACCGAGTGTAAAACCTGAGCCATTGCGTCCATCAGGCCGATGGCCCAATCTCATTTTGATCATAATATTTGGTTGGAGCAGAGCTGGTGGAGGTGGCATACGACAGGTTCGGCATGTTCTAGCTGGCTGTCGACCCAGATGTCACTCAATGATTGTCATTCTTTTCCTTTCTCACTTAATTTTGTGTCTTAGTTGTTGACTTAGATGAATTTTTAAAAGTATAATTTTACTTACATTTATGTAAAACTGTTTTGTTTAAGATGCTTCTAATATATTTTATCTAACGGTTGATATATATTTAGATTAAACTTGTATTTTTGAATTATAAACAAGTTTATAATTTATACCCAAATTATTCTTGTACTGTTGTGTCTATTGATCAATTGGAAGTTTCTTGGCACGATCATGGAATCCGTGCCGGGGATTATGAAGAACAAGATCAAAAGAATGAATGAAGAGCTCCTGAGCTTTTTTTTGCTCCATCTCCAACAATGTGGAAAATCTCCCAGTCGGTGGCCAAGAGCTCTAGATCGACTCATGTTGCGCCGGTCTTGAACGATGGCAGCAAAAGGCTGCTCCACAGCTCTGGAGTGGTCTCTCGTCAGCCAAAATTCCAGGCAAGATCAGAAACCACTTCAAGCACAATGATCCCGATGGCTACGTTGACGTCGCTCCTCCGCGCCATCGTCTACTGCCAATCCGGCCTCACAAACGGCTTCACCAGGAGCTTCACCAAGGGCTTTGCAGGGCGGCAGCAAAGCAACAGCCGCCCTCTCCACCGCCTCCAGGGATTCCAGCACTAACTGCATCAATCCAAAGTCGACCATCAACCACGACTTCCTGGTGATTGTGCTGATCGTCGGGGGCGTGGAGCAATTCTTCCTTTTCGAGAAGTGTGGCCCTGGCGGTGACTGCGGGATCAACATCACCCCCGTTCTCAGCCTGGGCGATTTTACCAATGCCAAGCTGCTGAATTTCGATTGCGAGGATACGCCGCTGGAACTGCGCGAGCTCATGAGGATCACGACCCGCAGTATAGCCTTCACGACAAGAACTGCTGGGAGTATGCGATGAGCACCGCTAAGAAGCTGCTGATGGAGTGCCACCGGAGGAGTGGAAAGGCCCAGTTTCGAGAGCGGGCCCAGGTGGTCGGGGGTGAGATCACTATAGAACACGCCCGAGGTATCAGCAGTCGATATTTCATGGTGCTTGCGCGAGTGGCAACGATTGCCATGTACGCTGGCTCCCCAATAATACTTCCTAGTTGACGACCACGTTTGCAATCGTTGACTAGCCTCAAGTTGGCACGTGATTTATCGTCTACTTTCCATTTTTCTAGTTTCAAAAGAAGAAGTCACTGTGGAATCCATAAGGTACTCGCTGGGGGAGACCAATTCTTGCTACAGCTTGATCCTGAAACTTTTGTGCATCAAATATGTACACCTGCAAGTACAAATTTTACACTTGCCAACTCTCTTACAGTATGCACTCACTTCGGATTTGTTTGTCTCCTCGTCATGGACATAGCTCACAATCCACCCGTCGTCTTCATCTGTTGAGTGGGGTCTCGCCACAAACAAAGGCTCCGATCCGTATCGGTTGGCTCCCAGATCGTGGTACTTCACATCAATTTCATCCTACAGAGATATAACAATTAGCTGATTGATAACTCGCAATGGCGTACTTCACAAGATTCCGGAAGTTTTACTTTCATGAACTTGCCATACTTTGGCATGCCTGTAAACAGCAAATCTTAAGTACATGAGCAAAAAAACGCATTGAAACTTACCTACAACTTTGCTAGCCTCCACATCCACCACCTGGGCATAGGCAAATTGGTTCTTCCTTCCTGTAAATTTCTTGTTGATTTTTGGCATTTCGATTCCACAAGTTTCCAACGATGTCAAGTTCCTTTCCACCACCGTCCCTGCTCAGCAAACTCATAAACCAAAACTCAGTTCACTCTATAGAAACAAACGAAACCTTTGTCAAGATTGAATCTCCATTCCCGCAAATTGGCCAAGAGGGCACCATCAACTTGAGGGTCTCTGGCATTTCTTGGATCAGTCGGTGTTATGCCCCGAGCAAACCACTCGCGTCTGTCCACACCATTTGGCGTGGGAAAGAATGGAATCTTCGAAAACAAAGCATGCAACACAATCTGTTTATCACATGATAATATTTAGTTAGCAAAACAATTTTTTGAAATTCCTTTTTAGCTGAAGTTTACTTACTTCATCACTG